TAACAAATTATCTATCATTGAATTTATAAATTTATAATTCACTGAGAAAGAATATTAAATTAGGTAGATTAAGTAAAAAATATTAATATATGATACCTAAAATTCTATATATCTGAAGTAAATGATTAAAGAAATTCCTCCAAAATTACTTTTCTATAGATTACAGAATAATATTAATGGATTTTTCTATTATTAAAAGATACTTTAGATATTTTCAAAAAAGACTTATAAATTTTGAGGAAGATTTCATGAGCAAAGAATAGCTCTATGATTTTTCTATAGAATAGCTAGCCTTATATATTACTTAATGAAAGATTCGTTAATCATTATTTAGATATTTGAAATTTGTTATAGAATAATCAATGATGCCAAAAACTAGTAATTGTATAATCCTCTGCTTTTATATTTAGACTTCTTATTATTGGAGATTCTATTGTCAAATACTAAATCATTCACAACGCATTCTTTGATCAGTGATATCGTCCAAATCTGCTTGTCAGTTTAATGGAGTTAAAAGATATCCTTAATTTCATAGTAGCTCAAAAGTAAATTTTCTCTTTGTTTACAAAAAATTTATTCAGAAGTGTTTTGCAAAAGAATAACATAGTAGTTGTGTAACAATTAAAGTTTGAAAAAATTATAAAGAATGACATTGTTATATATAGAGTAGAAATCTGAATCTAAAAAATTTATATTTAATAACAGTTTTATCTAGAATGCAACATTAATGATGATTCAATATTTATATTACAGCTATTATAATATGAATAGGATTTTCACAAATTACTAATGATTAAATCATGAAATAAAATAAATAGAGCGATAAAAGCTTTAATTAATAACATATTATAATAATATAATTAAAAACAACTTCATTAAAGATTATTTAAATATTTTCTAATACTAATTCAATAGAAATGTAGTATAAATAATTTTAATCTATTTCTAAAGATTATATTTAAATATTAAATTAAAAAGAATATTTAGATAATCCTTTAAAAAGTATTTTTATTAAAATATAAAAACTTTCTATCCTAAGTTCTTAATAAAATTTCAGAAGCAATAATATAAATGGTTTACTGGATCATTAGTAAGAATTTAGATAATAATAATTAAATTACACAAATTTATGGATTAATTTATTGTGAACAATCACCCAAAAATATTTTGAAGCTATTATTGATCAAATCTACTTTTTCCTATCCTATAAACATATTTAATTTGTTATAATTTTAAGATTTTTCTATAAATTTGTATTTATGTTTCTCTTTGCTTTCCTAAAGATGTTTAATTCATATAATATCATTATAGTGCCTTTTGAATCCCTTAAAGAGTAAAAGAATAATGAGGAACTCTTAAATTATTTTGATCTTGTATAATAGATCAAGCATTAAATGTATATAATCATTATTGTTTTTACTTTTAAACCACTCTATTGTACTTACGCCTCACAGATATTACTTTATTGTTGACCGAACATAATAGTACGAAATAGCAGGTATATTGTTTCAAATTAGAAACTCCAGCAACTTTAACATTATAGATTGATGATTCAGTCTTGCTACTCCATTCATTCTAAAAGATCTTTGCTTCATTGTAATACACTTTTTATTTTTTGCTGCCTCCTTCAATTGAATTCATTGATTTGTCAGCTAATCCACTCTTTGGTTTATTAAAAGTTTTTTAACTAATGATGCTGATATTTTCTTTATCTCCACTTCCATTTGTGTCTTTATTTTTTCTAGAATAAATTTTTTATAATTTTTATTATTTTCGCTTTATACATCTATATTCTCATCTTAATTTATTTCAGCATTTAAAACCATCATTTCTCTAAATCCATGCTCCTAATATTTAATTCAATTGTGAGAAAGCACTTATTTATTTTTTAAAACATTATAAATCAAAGAATTTTTTACTACTCAAGAATAAATATATTATATTAAAATCAATCATTTATATTTTATTGATATCCAATATTAACACCTAATCCTTACTTTTATTTAATTTACATGTCCAACTGCATCAGAAATTCTGAATTAATCTTTTATCTATTTCCTGCTAATTTTTTCAATTTATTTTACATAAATTAAAAATAGTTTAAACATATTTTTTTACATTTTATTACATAATTTCTAATCTAATTTTATTAAAATTCATCTGCCTTAGATTAATGATAATATTTAGAGAAAGAGAATTTAGGAATTTTTTATTGCTTTATTGTTTAACTTTGATACTGATTAAATTTACACTATTTACAGTTTTAATGCTATTCTAATTATGTCTCTTTCAAAATTAGAAGGAGAAATCTCAATTCAAGCGATTTTTTTTTTTAAATTATACAACACTAATTTATATTATTCAAGAAATAATTATAAATAGAATAGCTCTTACAGATGCAGATTTCATTATTATTGAGCTTAATTTAAATAATTAGAGATTTTAGGATGAATTATGCATTTAAAATTTTAATTATAAAGCTAAAATAAATTTTTAAATTGTTCTATCCTCTCTCATTCTTAATTCAATTCCATTGTATTTAATTCTTATATTTAATTTATGAACAACCAATCCTAAGAAGAACAACATTTTATAAACCCCAAATATGATGAATAAATATATATGGATGATGAATCGGAATATATGGAACCCCAACTAGAGTTATTTTTGGAATCAACACCAGCAGATTATAACTTAAAAGGAATCTCTTAATAAGAAACTAAAAAGATAGGAATTACAAAAGAATTTCAAAAGAAAAGAGACATCTAAAAGGGAATACAATCTGCATCAAAGAAAATCAACAAAAGTACAAAAAAATTGAACAAGAATACACCAAAAATAGAAGAAACCCAAGAAAACCAAAATTCAATTGAAAACTACGTACAAAAGTAATATTTGAACATGAGTGTTAAAATTTTTAGTGAATTAGATGAAGAATTAAGAGGTGAATTTACTAGCATAACTGAGGAAAAAGATTAAAAATGGCCTACTTTGATTTGTTGTAATTAAATCATTTTTGGGTAATGTTATGAAAGCTTAGATCCAAAACCCACAATTGTATATTTAAAAAAATTGAAATATAATGCTGAATCTGTTAATTTTAAGTTTAGAATAAAGTAATTTAGAGAAATTTGCCTTGCTGCAAAAGTAGACTATTAGGCAACATAACAGTTCAAGGATAAAGATTAAAAAGATAATTATGAGAGGAACCTTTAAACCATAGAGTCTAAACTTTAAGAGCCCAAAAATTAAGAAGAGAAAGAACTTAAAGATTATATTTCAGCATTTAGGGAATTCATTTTGACTGTTATTGCTTTGAAAGAAAATAAGCATATCAAAAGAAAGATAACTTTAAACTAAGATGACTTTATAAATTTAGCTAAAAATCGAAATATGAGTAAAAGACTAGAATAGGTTTTTAATATGATTGAAAACCCTTAATCAAATTTCAAAACTATTTTCTAAGAAATTTAACCAAATGAAAAAAATTAATACAAAGATTTAAACAACAAAATGTAATATTATGAATAGTATATCAAAAAATTTCGAAAGAAAATAACAGAAAAACGAAACACCGATAAGAATGATATTGAATAATTTCAATAATAAGTGGAAACTCTAGAATAGAGTGAAGAGGATGAAAAGTTTTTTGATTATTCTCCTCCTAGAGAAAATTTTGAGGAGTGATATATACAATTTCATTATCAATAATTTTAAATCTTAAATATTTTCAATAATTCTTGGTCTTACAAAATTCTATTGATAATAATTTAGTAAATTTTTATTTATTATAATCTAACTTTTGACTGCATAGTGGAATTAAATATATATATATATAGGATTAATCAAAAAAATGATGAATCAAAATATATATAGAATTATAAAACTCTTATGGTGATTATAATGAGAAATATTAGAAATACAATGTAGAATAAATGAGGTATGATTTATTTATAGAGATAGTCATATATTTGTTCAAACAAATGATATCATGAAATTAATTAATGAAACTTATATTGAATTTCCTTATTTACCACCAAATAGTGTCATTCAATTTTGGGAGTAATACAATGATTTGTATCAAAAATTCTTTCAAAAATGAATTAAGATATCAATTAAAAATATAATGTAAACAAGCCATAACATAAGGATTTTAATTGAAACATTAATATATTTAAATAGATCAATTTGATAGCTGATTTAATTAAAGCATTGTTAGCATCTTCAAGAAAAATATTTAAAGATAATATAGATGATTTAGCATATTAAGTAAAAAAAGATTTATCATCTGAAAAACAAATGATTATAAAGAAATTAGTACAAGAACTAATGGCTGAACATTCAAGAAGAAGACCATCAACATAAGATAGCAAAAAAAAGATGGAATTGTTATAACTATGACAACTAGTTTAATTAAAATGAGAAACCAATTAAATACAATAATAAAAGAAATATCAATGCTAAAAGAAGATTTGAACTTGTAACAAAGAAGATTTATTTTATAACCATAAAGTATTCTTAATAATTCATCATAGATTTACAATATTTGATAACAAATGTAACCAAAACTTCTTAATTAAATTATAAATATTGCTAATAAGGCTTCAAAATTTCCTTGAATTAATTCATCATTTTTGCTTGTTTCTAATTATCAATATTAAAATAAATGAAGTTTTCTCTTTTATATATTTCTTTTCATTGAAATCATCAGTGGAGTTTAAACCTACAATAATCTCTAGAATAGAATTTTAAGTCCTTTCTAAATTCTCAAGTAATTATGATGAACTTTTAAAATTTGAATCAAGTTCCATTAATTAGTTAAAGATCTAATAATTTTTAATTCACTTGATAAATTTTATAAACAATATGTTTAATAACAGCTTTAGCTTAAATATTAAGAAACGTAAATATGTATTTAAAGATTAATTCGTTACTGAAATGGATTTCTATCATTAAGCTAAAATATCCAGCATTTTGATTTTCAGTAATATCTGGATTTAACTTTTTTTTCTATAATATTCATATTATTTGAATTTCAACTTAAAAATTTTGAAAACATTAGAACAACTATAAATTTTTTTGTATACTTATTCTTCTTATTATAACATAAAAAATTGAAAAGCAATGTGTATTTCGAATAGAATTTTAATTTCTATTTATTTTAAATTAGAATTTCTAATTTTTATTGTTAACCTTTTTAGATATATTTAAATTTCATTACATTAAATAAATAAGTAAACTCTTGTTCTTTCTAATAACGTCCAAATGTATTAAAATACAAAAGAGCACCCTATTGTAATAAGTTCCTTTTTAAAAATGAATAAATCTCAATGTATATAGTTTCGAAATATTTAATCATATTATTTAGAGCTACGATTCTCTCATTTCAGTAAAGAACAAATAAGAAATATTTGATTTACTTCTTTTGAAATAATGTAATTAAAAAATAAAATAAATATAGCTATAAATTATTTTTAATGTAAATCCTTTTTTTGAATAAAACAGAGAAGTAGTAAATCAAATTGCTATAATATGCAAGATAGAATTAGAATAATTAGATGGTTTAAAATACAATCTAGATAAATTAAGAAAAAGAGATGAGAAAATTTTTAATTTTTAAAGACATAATAGATAATATAAAAAGAAAATAAAAAAATAGAATTGAATTGAATTTGTAAATAGTATAGATTTGTAAGTAATATTCTAAATCAACATTGCTTTATTTATAATTATTTTTTCTAAGATTGTTATTGAATGAATTGAGTAAATTAGTATTTTATAAGGCAAAGAGCATTGTGAGAACAATATAAACAAAATATGGAAAATTTTCCAAATAGAAAATTATTTATATTATCTAATCTTCATTCAGCTTTTATTTCAAATAATATAGCTTGAAAACAAGGAGAAAAGGAATAAAATTTGAAAAGTCTAAATTTACCAATCGAACTTGTTGTTTATAAAAACCGTGCAGTCTTCATTACTGTTGTAGATTTAGTCTAAAATAAATCATTTTTTCTTTTAGAAAGAACATAATAAATAAGTAAATTTTTTATAAAAGCAAATATAGTTGTAAATTTTGTGTAAAATTTTAACTTAATTTATAACTAATTCTTATGTAATAATTTTAATTTCTTTAAACTACTATTTGAAAATGAAATATCTATCTGAGGTAATTTGCACAATAATTAGACTTATAAAGTTTATTCTAAAAATAAATATATTAAAAATTATCCTTCATTCATTTATTTGAAAATGAATACGCTTTTTCTTCAAATAATTAGTGATTAAATAAAATAAAATAAGTAGCTAAACTTGATATATTTTATTATTTAATTTTTCTTTTTGTTTATATGGGAAAATTATATAAAATAAAGATTGAAAAGAATTTTCAAGTTGATATAAAATGTTGTGAAAGAAAAAGTTATCTTAGCATTTGTTAATTGATTTTATATATTCATTTCCTTAATATTATAATATAGATAATTAATAATGAAAAAAAATATTATTGTGAAATTAACCTCTAATTTCATCACCAATATTATCTCTTTTGATACAAACCATGAAATAAGCAAAGTAGTTTTATATCTAATTGGACTAATGGGATCACTTTTACCTTTTTCATATGCTGTATTATCTTCTAGGAGAAGCTAAAATAAAGATGATTATATTGTTATGATAATAGCTAAATTTTCGAGACCATATTTATTTCTAAATTAAGATTCTTAATTCTTTGAATACATTGATTATGGTATATTGGCTTTATTAGGATTAGTAATTATAAATTATTGTTTTCTTTTATTTCAAGAACAATAAAAGAATTTTTCCTAATTTTTAAGAGTATTTTAAATCATGAATTATTACATCAATTAAATTCTTGATATTTGGCTAATTAATATATTACTTGAATTAACTTTGTTAAGGCATTAAATATATTCTTATATTTTGTCAATCATATTTATAATATTACTTATCCAACGTTTGATTATAACAAAAGTAAGTGTAGAATTTAACTATTAAAGCTTTAATAATTAAATTAATTCAATCTACTTTTATATTGTACAATTATTAAATTTGGCTTAAGTATTCATATTTTCATTTAATCCAACTTAAGAAGAGTTGAAATATGTACAAGTAATATTATCAATCCTCATTTGCACCATAAATAATATAAATATTTTAGTAAATCTCCCTTAAGTTAATGTTAATCTTTTATTTATGCAACTTTTCACTCATTTTAATACTATCTTATATTGTTTATCCTTTCTTGTTTTTTCCTATGTAGGAAATACAAAAAATTAAGAATCTTAGTTACTATTTGTAATTACTTGGCCCTTTTGTATCAAATTAGGAAATTAATTTAAGGTGAAATTATTTTGTAATTAGTTCAGCTTTTTTAATTAAAAGTTTTTATTTATTCATTATTTTTTTGCCCATGCTAGATAACAATTTGACTTAAAATCAGTATATTTTAAATGTTCTCTTTAATAAAATTATCCTTATAATCTAATTTAATCATAGTAAATTAATTTGCAAAATTAATAATTTTTATAGCATCTGGATAAATTATTTAAAAAGGTAACAAAAATTTAAATATTTTAGGCTCCTGAAAAATAATTATATTTATCTTTATTGTTGCTATTGAAAGAATATTTTAAAGCATATTAATATTCAATTAAGAAAAAGCATAAAGAATCCATGATTCAATTTTCAAGATATAAAATCTCAAAATAAATAATTTTGAATGAATTAAGAAATTAGATGCTTACTAATAATTCAATTCAGTTAAATACAGTTTTAATAGATAGTTTAATTTCTGTTGAAACTTAGAGCATTGAGTTTTCTGAAAAATTACTTGAGTGTTGTTAAAAAAAGATAGAATTTCATCAAATCTGCTTAAGTTATGAAAAGAAAAACGAAATATCAAAAAAGGCTGATGATATTGTTGAATTATTCGAAAATACTATTTAAAAAATAGAATATTAATACAAAAATTATCCTTTGATTAGATATTAAAGATGTCTATCTTTTGGATATGCTGAATTATGCAATGATATTTTACTCGCAATAAGAATAATGAATCAATCCTCATTTCCAGATGAATTTATTTATACCAAAATTTTAACTTTAAATGAATAATTTATATCTTAGAAAACTGTTTATTTGACGAGCAACTTAGAAAATTAAAATGTTATTAAATTGTCTTCAAACTTTCACGAAAGAATTTATTCAAATGTTTAAAATATATTATAGATGATACCTAACGGGATTTAAGAACATCATTAATAAATGATTCAAGAATTTATAAAAACAGGAAAATCAATTTTTTTCTAAAAAGCCACTTAAACTCTCTATCAAGATTTTTAGTTAATAAAGCCAATGATTTTAATGAATGATATTGTCATTTAAGATAGCAGTTTTGTAGCAATATCAATAATGACTTTTCCAGATTAAGAGTATATTATTATTGTTGTTGATAATAATTAAAAAGTCAGGAGCTTAAGTTAAGGATTTTTAGACTAAATTAATTTAGATTTTGAAAATGCTAACTTAATTTTAGGAGTTGATATATCTCTTATTATTCCAAAATTTAGTCTAATTTCTTAAATATCAACTCCATAATATATTGAAATTAAATTACCAAATTTTTCATAGTTACAGGCTGAATTGAATTAAAATTGTAAAAGCAACAATGAAAAATAACATTCTAGGATATTAGATGATTTTTGGTAAGATCATTAAAGAATGAATACTTTTATATCTTTATGCACCATTGAAAGCTCTAAATATAATTACCACAAGATATATTTTAGTTATGTAAAAAGCTTAAATAAAACAATCTACTATCCTAATTCTTTAAGAACATTTTAATGTTTATCTAACAATTGTTTTGATGAAATTGAAGAATAAGTCAATATAGCAATTCCATATGATTAATTAGAATTAGAATAAAAATTAGACATGTTAAATACTGCTAGGTATGAATAAACACAGACTTTAATTAAATATGATGATTCTAGAACTGATAGAATTAAGCGAATTGTCTAATCAACATAAAAAATTGAAGAAAACTCTATAGAAGGACAGATGAATCAAATAGCACAGAGTCATTCTTTGTAAGATGAAAAAATTAAATCAAATTATGAAATGAAACACTTTTAGAAGTATTCTTTGTTTGAAAAAATAAGAGGTAAAAATAACTTAGTTAAAGCTGAAAAAATGTTAATTATAATTCTTGTATTAAATTAACTGTTATTTTTTATGTAAATTTTATTATCTTTGATAGATTGTATAAATCTATTTTAATAAAACTTGAATAAGTTAGAATTATTAAAGATAAAATATGATTTATTTTAACCTGTTGAAACTTTCATTGTTACTAGATACACAATCATTAATTACAACAATTAATTTGCAGCAAAATAAATCACTAAATCTTAATTAGACTTTTATTTGAAATTTCCAAATTCTAATTTAAATTTAGGTTTTGATGATGTTTATTAAAATTAAGAAATAATTCTTAATAGATTAGAATTGTAAGAGTTTTTATCATAATTTTATGAAATATATATTTATTCAAAAACTGATATTGGTGAAATGTATAATATTACAATGAGATAAGCACTTAGTATATTAATTAATTATTAATACACATTTAAAGCTGCATATGTTTTTGATGGAAGAACAGTTACAGATTCTCCTTATATTTTTTATTCTTATAGAAATTTATTGACTTTATATTATTCCTTTGATTAACTAAGTCATAATTTATATTTACATACTCTATTAACAATATAAGAAGATTTTTAAAAAGAATCATCTTTATTTTATCCATTCCTAATATTATTTATTCTCTTTTTAGGAATTGAAATATATTATGATGTAAGAAATAATAAAATTTTAATAAAATTTGTATTTTTAATTCTTTATACGCCTTCTGTTTTTATTTTAAAAGAAATTAGTAGATTGAGTATTTATTTAGAATCTTATGTAAAAAATCCTGAAAAATTGTTTAGATTTAAGTTTAATATTGAAGAAAAAGAAAAAGAACTAAAAAGTTACAAAGAACTTAATCAAAATTTTATTTAATAAAAAAGGCCCTATATTACGAGAATATAATATATTAAGAAAAGTCATTTAATAGTTTTATTTCTATAATTAGCATTTATAATATCATTTGGAATAATCAAGGAAAACTTTATTACATCTTACCTTACTAGATATTAAAATACTTGTTAGTTTAGTTTGGAAGTATCTCATCTTGGTACTAATATTCCTACAATTTATGCAATGAGAGAAGTTCTTTATTATAGATGGAGATACCCATTTTATAAGGAAAAATAATTATTGTTAATACTGGAGTAAATAAAAGATTGTTTAAAGTAAGTTCATAATATTACAAATGATATGTCATAATTAACAATGTAAATAAAATAATTAAAATAGGAATGATTATTTATTAAGTGAATCATTTGGAGAATATATTGATAAGCTTTATTAAACAAGCCTTTGTGAATAACTTCCTGGTGATTTATAGGAAAGAAGTATTTAATTATGTTAGACTACTTTGGGAGGAAGTTTAAGAAAAGGTTTATACAGTGCTTTAGTTTATATATATACTAGTGTATAAAATGAGATGTAAATAAACGAATTTTACAATAAAACGGAGAATACTGTAAATGAATTAGAAGGAGTTTTTATGGTTAGTTAAATAATAAAATAGATGAATACTAAATTATGGTCAGATGTAGTTAAATCAACAGATCAAATTTAATAAATCATATCTGTAATTATATGTATAATGGTAGATAGTATCTTTTCTTTACTTGTTATTTGTGATAATGAATCTCATAATAATTTTTTTTCTTATTAATAGAAAATTGGAGAGACAATATTATTTATCAAAAAGATATTTATATTTGGTACCATAGGCAATTCTTTTTGGTAATGATGCATTTGAAAGATTAGCAAAAGGATTGTTGTAATTGAATTGATGATGAATTGAATGAATAAAAATAATTATGTCATCAATGATTGTATAAATATAGATTTAAAATCAAGAAAAAATAAATATTTAAATATATATTAATGAAATAGATTCTAGGTTTGACTACAGTGATTTTATTGGGAATTTCACTTTATATGAATGGATAGAGTGAATTATAAACATAAACTCAATTTAGATAATGGCAATAAATACATTAAAAATTCTATACATAGATTGAGGAATAATATCGTAGAATGGTGTTTGAAGAAAATAAATAAATGATCGAGAAGCATAATTCAAATCCTGAAAATACATACAAGATGGCAATAAATTAATTTGGTGATTTAACAAAGGAAGAATTTGTGGCTATTTATTTAAGTTCTGAATAATCTTAAGGTTTAAGAAGAAAATAATAAAAAACAAAGTCTGAATATATAGAAAATGAATCATATGATTGGAGAAATACAACAACAGTTAGAGATATGAAATCTGGTTGCATATCAAGTTGGGCATTTTCAGCAGTAGGAACAGCAGAATCATATTTATCAGTGGTTAAATCTTAAAAAGTATTATTATCAGCATAATAATTATTGGATTGTGATTCAACCTCATTTTCATGTAATGGAGGAGTTCCATATAGAGGTTTAGATTATATAGCTGATAATGGAATAACAGTAGAATCTGTTTATCCATATGTAATAAAAATATATTAAATAATATATAGACTGCAAAATTTTCACCATGTAAAAGAGAAGGAGGACCATATAGAATAAATGGTGAAGAAGATGTAGATGATCTTAAAACTGCATTGAGATAATATGCAGTATCTGTATTTGTTGATGCCACAAATTGGCAATTTTATTCAACAGGAATATTTAGCAATTGTGAAGACAATATAAACTTTGCAGCTACAGCAGTTGGATTCACTGATTAATATTGGATTGTTCAAAGTTCATATGGTACAAGTTGGGGATTAAATGGATATATTCTTTTAGCTCCTGGGGATACATGTGGAGTTGAATCTTATGGAGTTAGAGCTGTTTGATTATTAATGATATATGAATAATAAAAATATCATAATTTAGGTTTACTTCTTATCTTCTGAACTATCTTTTATAATACTTCATGTCCTTCATTAACTTCTTTTATTTATGTAACTCTTTACATCCAATTTAAAATATTTGGATATTTAGAAAAATCCCAATTTACCATATGTAATTACATTATTTCACAATAAGCACTTATATCAGCTAAACTTATTTCTTTTCCACAAATATAATCTTATGTTGAAAATTCTATAATTTATATAATGGCTTATGTACTTGTTTCTAAAAATTTCAATGCTAATAAAGCTTCCTTTTTAGCTTACTCTAAATTAACAGTAGTTTCTATTCCTAATTTTGGAGCCACCATCAAATTAAAAAAGTATTATGCTAACTTTCTTGTACCTGTATGATGATAATCTAAATATTCATCAATCTTTCCTGATTATTATGGATCTTCAGGATATAAATTAGTCTTTATATTCCTTGATTTTATAATGTATTTAATTATTGCATGACTCTCAGCAAGTTAAAACCCATCCTTATCAACAATAGCAGGAACTAAGATAAATGATTAATCTTATCATATATACCTTTTCTGTATGGATTTATTTTTGCATATTCTGGAGTTCGCTGTTTTCCTTCTGCTATTCTTATCTCTACTACTTCATGTGGAACTTTTAAGATGTTTAACACAATAGAAACAAATCTTGATGGTTAGGATAACCAATCAATATACAATTTCAATGACATATTATTTTATAAAATGATGTTAATTTTTAAAATAACACTATTTTACTTTTTATATTACTGATGAATCATTCATCAATTAAATACAAAAATAACTTCATAATTTTATTTTTCTAAACCAACTACACCAAGATATGAATTACTTGTCAATGATCTTTAAATAATTACCACTTCTAAATCCTAGTTTTAATTCCCACTTTTTTTTAATATATAGCTATAATTTTATAATTGTTCAAATGTTAATTCAGCTTATTTACTCAATATTAATGTCGAAAATTCTTACATTACTTCTTTATTCTATATTCTATACTAATGTAATAATAAATTCAATTCATCAAAATCTGATTCATATTCTATTAATTTTACTTGTATCATTCTTACTAACTCTTTCAATGCCTCTTCCTTATAATCCACTTTAAAATACTCAATAAATCCTAATAATTTAAGAGCCTCTTTAATATTAAATTAATTTCTTTAAATTTTACGGTCTAATTTTTTTTAAGAATCTTATCTAATATTCTCTAATTTTGTATTAATCAAACTATTTTACAATCCATCTGAATTTTCTATATATTTTTAAAACAATGAACTTGCAACAAATAATTCATAATATGTTTAGAAACTATTCTTCAATTCATAATTTGAATGACTTAAAACTTCGTACATCTTATTACATAAAATCACCAGAGCTTTTTATATTGCTATATCGACTTTTTCATCCAATCTATCTAGTTAATTGTAAAATATTGAATTATATAATATCACCTTCACAACTTCTATTAATTTATCATATTTATAGCTATTTAGATATTTAAACTAAAAATTATTTTTCTCATAATTGCATAAATCTTAGAATAAATCAAAGTTAAAATGACCTTTAATACTAAAATTATACAGAATCTAAAATTTAATTGTGTATGATTCATCTATACTAATATTCTAAATCCTTTTATAAATAGTTGTTAGATCCTTTGGACTTAATGGACTTATTTTTAATAAAGATTAAAATATTAATGTTATCTCTCCTAAATAAAAATGAGTATCAATCAATTAAATTGCAGATATAAATTCTTAAGTTATTCTTTTCCATAATTCATCCAATCTTATCTCCATAATTGCTAAACTCTTGGCTAACAAAGTTAATTGTTAGATTGTTAATGTAAATTAATTAATATTATTTGTAAACTAAACAACGACTTCGCTTCTCTTCTTATACTTTATAAGAGCCAAATGTTCAATTATTGTCAAATAATTATCCAAAGTTAAAACATTATAATTTTCACCAAAAAACTCTTCTATGTCTAATATTGAATCTAATTCTGTCTAAAGCTTATTTTAATACTAAAAATTATTTATTTAAACATACTTTTATTATTGTGGTAAAATATCTCATTATAGTATCAAATTTAAGTAATTTAAAATGCCTTTTGATTATTTTTCTAACATGAATAAGATGCGACTAAGTTATTGTATGGTTGTATTCAACTTATGATGCTAAAATAAATGCTTCTGCTAAAATCTCTAATGGTTCTTCTTCTTTATTTATTTCAAGTTCTTTTTCTATATATTATCCAACCTCGTTTAATTGCTTTGCAATCAATCTCAAAGAATCTACTGATAAGAATTGTAGTTGTTTATTGATAATAAGTATTTATTGAATGCATTCAATTTTTGTGAACTATAATTTCTTATCTGAAATTAAAGAATCAATGTGTTGTAAATAATCTGAATTTTTCAAATGAATATATTATTTAGCTCTGATTAATTCACTTAAGCAATATACAATTTCTTCTTCTCTTAATTAATCTCTTCGAAATTGTAAAAAAGCGCTGATTTACAAATAATCATTTCCAATTTTAGATTCCAATATTTATTAAATATTTGGAGTGAAAGTTTATTGTATAACTTTTTTTCTTCCATTTTCTTTGACCACCATGCTTTTTACAAAATTAGTATAAAACTAATCGAAATTGGCAATGTCTTCTCTAGTTAATTCTTATTTTGTAATCTAATCTAATTTAGTTGAAGTTGCTCTAGCTGTCTCTTGTATAGCTTGCTTTTTAAAAAAGTTGATTGAACCGAAAAAATATTTAATCATATTATTNTTAGATCCTTTGGACTTAATGGACTTATTTTTAATAAAGATTAAAATATTAATGTTATCTCTCCTAAATAAAAATGAGTATCAATCAATTAAATTGCAGATATAAATTCTTAAGTTATTCTTTTCCATAATTCATCCAATCTTATCTCCATAATTGCTAAACTCTTGGCTAACAAAGTTAATTGTTAGATTGTTAATGTAAATTAATTAATATTATTTGTAAACTAAACAACGACTTCGCTTCTCTTCTTATACTTTATAAGAGCCAAATGTTCAATTATTGTCAAATAATTATCCAAAGTTAAAACATTATAATTTTCACCAAAAAACTCTTCTATGTCTAATATTGAATCTAATTCTGTCTAAAGCTTATTTTAATACTAAAAATTATTTATTTAAACATACTTTTATTATTGTGGTAAAATATCTCATTATAGTATCAAATTTAAGTAATTTAAAATGCCTTTTGATTATTTTTCTAACATGAATAAGATGCGACTAAGTTATTGTATGGTTGTATTCAACTTATGATGCTAAAATAAATGCTTCTGCTAAAATCTCTAATGGTTCTTCTTCTTTATTTATTTCAAGTTCTTTTTCTATATATTATCCAACCTCGTTTAATTGCTTTGCAATCAATCTCAAAGAATCTACTGATAAGAATTGTAGTTGTTTATTGATAATAAGTATTTATTGAATGCATTCAATTTTTGTGAACTATAATTTCTTATCTGAAATTAAAGAATCAATGTGTTGTAAATAATCTGAATTTTTCAAATGAATATATTATTTAGCTCTGATTAATTCACTTAAGCAATATACAATTTCTTCTTCTCTTAATTAATCTCTTCGAAATTGTAAAAAAGCGCTGATTTACAAATAATCATTTCCAATTTTAGATTCCAATATTTATTAAATATTTGGAGTGAAAGTTTATTGTATAACTTTTTTTCTTCCATTTTCTTTGACCACCATGCTTTTTACAAAATTAGTATAAAACTAATCGAAATTGGCAATGTCTTCTCTAGTTAATTCTTATTTTGTAATCTAATCTAATTTAGTTGAAGTTGCTCTAGCTGTCTCTTGTATAGCTTGCTTTTTAAAAAAGTTGATTGAACCGAAAAAATATTTAATCATATTATTATAAATACAATTGAATTAGATACGATAATAAATAACTTATTTATAAATGAATAAGGATGTTGTGAATTTTATTTGAAAAATTGAACTAATTTATAAATAATATAGATTGTTTCTGTTTTACTTATTATAGAATTGAGAAGAGAAGTAAGAAAATAATTCTATATTATATAATTTAAGAAACTTTTTTTATATAATTTAGTTTAAAAGAAATAGATAGATCAAAATTTACAATTTCTGCTCTTTCGATAGAGGTATTTAGGAAAATAAGAATTAGGAAAGGATAGCAAGTGTCATAAGTGAAATAAATTATACATTTAGATTTATTAATTCAAACATGAGTGGATTTGAGAAAGTATGCGCTAGATTTTTATGTAATGAATTAGTGCACGTAATGCTTATCTATCTAATAATTGAGGCAACATTTAATAAATAGAAATGTTTTTCATACAATAAAAAAGGATAAAAACAATTTCAATGATTAGTGATCTTGATGATTCAGGTTAATTTTTAATGGAGAGTTTTCATCTATTTTTGATTTTGCAGAAGGAGTTTAGAATAAATATACAAATTGTTGATTGGGTATAATAAATTAAATGTCACAATTTCATTTTATGAAATCTATCTTTGTGAGTTTTTTGATTTATTGATGAAAAAGCATTATTTGACGAAAGGATAGATGCAAAAAATGATAAATTTTAGGTGAAGTATTAACTGATTATTATTAAATTAATAATTTTATGGAAACAAACAATAATAACTTTCCATCATTAAAATATGATAAAATCCTCATAATTTAAATAATTTTGATAGTTATTCAATTAAAAGTCATAAATATCATAAATCCTTAATCTAGCCTAATATTGATAACATTTTCATTCAATATTAAAAACAAAATATAAATTCTATTTAAAATATTAAAAAATAATAATTACTTTAACCCTAATTCTTTTAATCATGTTAATCAGAGTATAAATAATAACCATAATTCATTCAATATCAATACCCAATTTAGTTATTTTATTAATAGGTTTTATAATTTAAGTATAAAAATCTTTTTAATCTTTGATGTTCAAAATACGAAAGAAGCTCAAATATTAATAAAAATAATATATAACTCATAGTAATTTTTTTGAAATTTGTAAGAATAAAAACGAATATTTTAGATTCTATGTAATATTTACAATAATATTATATTCCTTTGTAGAAAATAACTCAGATGAACAGTAGTTCGCTTTATAAAGGATGATCCATAAGAAGATTTAGATATAATATATTGTTCAGAGAAGCTGATCCTGAAATTTGAAATAAAAGAATAAAAAATCAGCAAATATTTTGCAATAAAAAGAAACTTGTAAAAAAAAAGATATTTTAGGAGGAAGATGAAATTATTATATTTCATAAAAATCCTATTCTAAATTTGCAAGTAGATAAACATTTGTAATATTTTAAGATATGATTTTACTGAATTCACTAGACCAAAATAATATAGTAGTGATAGATTTTATGATATAATTGAAAGAAAGTGTGAAGGTGAAATAATGATGATTTTCTAATAAGATTATGTAACTATGAATATTTGCTTGAATATGAATGTGAAGGTGATATATTTGTTTAGAAATCCGAACAATATAATTAAGTGAAGGATTTGGGAATAGGTAATAAGTAAAATTAAACAAATTTATAATGATAACAAATGATAATGTTAACTCGAGATCATATGATCCTCCAATCATTCCTGATGCTTCTTAAATATTGGAAGAATCCTAGTTCATCAATATCTCATAAAAGCATCTTCTTTTTCCAAATAGTCCTTTTTAGATTGTCAAACCTTGGGATGTAGGTGATTGTGAATTTCCATTCGATTAATAAGTTCTACCTATGATGTTTGAAAATTGTTAATCAGAATAATTATCCCCAAAACAAGAAATAAGGAAACCCTCCAAAAATTCGAATCTACAATTTGCTACGCCATAAAAAGTGCAGCCATATAGAAGGTAACTAATTCAATTAAAATAAGTAGATATCAATCAGAAAGAGTTGAACGAAGAACTTATAATTATGAATAGTAAAATTAACCTATGAGAAGCCAAAAGGGTATATATGGACAAATAATTAAGCATAGGACTTAGACACTTGTCAATTAAGGTCAAAGAAATAGTGTTTGAATTGAGATCTACTTCCTATAAAGATGTAGCAGAGAGATTAATTTAAGAGCTAAGTAAAGAAGAAGGTAGATTATTAGATTATGATAATGTATGATAATAATAAATTAGAGTCTAAAGATGAATAAAATATTAAGCGTAGAGTTTATGATGCTTTGAATGTAATGATTGCATCCAAAGTATTGAGAAAAGAAGGTAAAAAAGTTAAATCAGATGTCTATTCAGAATTGTCTGGAAAAATCAAACTCTAAGATAGAGATACATAAAAAGAAAAACTTGTAAGTTAAAAATCTATTTTCAAGATTCGAAAATAAAAACTTCTCTAAGGAAAGAAAAAACATTTAGCAGATCTCATTAAAAAATGGAAAACAGCAAATTCTCTTGTAGAAAGAAATAAAAACTTACAAAATTAATTTTAATAATCTTTTTACTTTCCATTAATAATATTTTATGCTGATCAAAAACATCCAAAATTTCTGAAAGATAAAAAGTCTCTAAAAATTTAAATGAAAAATAAATTAGATATTCTTTCAGATCTAGATATTGCAAAAGAATTATTTCTGTATTAATTATGATATTATCATAGTGAAAATGTTGACAATGATAAAATATTAGAAGAATGCTTAAAATTGTAATGAATAATTAATATATATATTTTATTAAATGAAATATTTTTATGTTTAAGGCACAAAATTTTAAGTGTATTTAAGATGCTTGAAAGGATTATTTTAATCATAAGATTATGTTGTAAAAAAAAGATAAATGAGATTATTTTTAACTCTTTTATTTTCATTATATTCATATGGAAAACATGTTAATTAAAACAATTAATTGGGAATTTGATATTAGAAAATAAATAAAACTTTTTGATTCCTGTTTGGATATATCATATTGGAAGTGAACAATATATATATTTTGAATAATAAAGATTGGCTAGAGGTTTGCCAACTTCATTTTCATATAATTATTTGGCTCCTGTAATATAAATGGTTAGTTATACTGATAATAAAGGAAATAAAGATTTGAAAAGCACATTTTTAATAAAGAAAGACTTAATAAACTTGATAATATTGATAATAAATGTTTGAAGAGATTTTTTGAGAAGAAATGAAAGCAAAAAAATTAAAAAGGATCACTTTTAGTGGCTTATGAATTAATTGTAATAATCAATTTGATTTGGATGTATAAACATATCTATAATTAGAATTATTTACACTATAAATCAAATGGATTTTATTAGAGAGGACTTCATTTTAATTTAATGTCTAATTAAATCTGACAAATTAATATCAGTATGATCATTTTATATAAAAATTTGATTGGTTGTATGAATTGGGATAATGGTCGATTGAATTAAATGTAATGAATGGATTAAATTATTTTAATAAATTATTATCAATATAATGAAATAAAGAAGGTTTATTCAGAAAAATTAGGCTACTTTTACTCATTTTGTAAGCGTACCTTTGATTTTATAACCTACTTAAGGAAAACTTTAGAAATTGATGGATGAAATTCATAAAAAATACAATTATGATTAATCAATGAATCCAAATAATCCATTTTTATTTCATATAACTATATCAATGCTAGGATTATAGAATTAAGAAAAAATAAATAAAGCTAAATAAATATTCTCAGATAATGAGTAAAACATAAAAAACTATGTAAAAAATGTTTCAATAAGACTCAAAGGTTTAGGTTGTTTTCAAAATCGATTAAATCAATAAAATAAATATTAAAAGAGAGGACCTTATGAAGATTTAAATATCATTTATTTAAATGTTGATGAAACTCCTCTACTACCTGTCTCAGATTTCATAATAAGACAATTTTTATAAGCATAAATCTTTGATTCAGATGATTTAAAATCTATGAATTTAATGATTGATTAATAATCAAAAATGTTTAGAGCAGAGAAATTTCATATAACTTTATTTAGAATGAAAGATTGCAAAATAAATTTTTAACAATTATTTGATGAATAAAAAAATTATGAATTTGGTGAAACTTCAATTAAATATTTTGACATAAGTACAAGATGGAAATATGATAAAGATAAGTTCTATTAACCTTTAGCTAGAATAATTGTTAATTGATATTTATATTTAATATATATATTTTCTGATAAATTTATAATTATCATAATGTCCACTTTTCGGGTGTTCCAATAATGAAATTACAGCTATTTGTTATAGCATAAATCTTGCCTTAATGAATCAAACTACCATTCTATATTTGACCAATCTAAGGAGGATTTTATAAATTCTCTGTCGTAAAAGATAAATTTTGTTAATCAACCATTTTTAAAAGTTAATATTGTCCATTTCCAAATATTAATACATTTGAATTATTTATAGCTACCATTCCAACTCCCCTATTTATATTAATATTTAGTTATGTCCATTTCAATAATTTAGTATCAAATAATTCTAATGGAGTTGCTTTAATAATATATTATCGAAAAGTGCAAACTGATAAATTAACACCTCCATAATTCATTCTTGGTAAATTAACTCTAGTTTCAATTTCAGTTCTTGATTTATTTAATGCAAATTCTATACTCTCTATAGTATTTAAATCTTGACTTTGATTTTACCCTCCAAGAACATATAACTTATTTTAAAAGAATATTGCAGCTGAAGAATGTCGAGGTTATTATAATTTATCTGTTTATATTAGAGTTTATTATTTCAAATCTAATTGAAATATTTATGGACTTTACTAATTTCCTATGTAACCTCCTATTACAAAGATATTTCCTTATTATGAACGTGCAGTAGAACTTTTTAATGGTACTTAACAATTCAATCTGATTTCTTACCATCTTGGATTCTAAACCCATTCCAAATTTTAAAAAAATATAGATTTATCAGTAAAATAATGTAAGTATTTTTAACTACAAAGAGAATCATAAAAGTCTGGTAAATTTATTGTAAAATTAGATATTCCAACTTACTAAACTAAATTACTTAATATTATTTTTTACATTGCTATACCAATCTTTTTTATGGTGATTGTTCTACTTTTGCTGATTAAATTTCACTTGTTAAATAAGGATGGTTGTATGTTGTACTTTTAGGTATTGAAGAAGAAGGTTAAATTTATTAATTTTTATAATATTCTGCATTTTTTATTGATGCATACTATCCTAATTGAATCCTCAAAAAGTATAATTCTTATTCATCTATTTAAATATCTAATGTATGTTTTGAAACTTCTTCAATAAATGCTTCACATTCTATTCGTTATTATTAAGCTTATTAAAGGAAGTTAGTTGTTTATAATTGGATAATTTATTTTAAATACTATGAGGTCTTTAATTTTTAATCAATCCCTTAAAATTCTTGAATTTTTAAATTTAACGATCTTTCCATTTATTATAATTCAACATCTAAATTTGTTCTATCTGTCTTTGTGACTTAATCCAATTCGTTTAGCAATTCTTCAAAAAATTAATCTACTATTTGTTAAACCCTTTATTTTGCATTGCTAAGCTTTGTATGTAATTATCCATGCGCATCTGTTTTTGAATCTTTGAATTACTATAATAACTATATAGCTTAATTCAAATTTGTTAATTAAGTATTTATCAATTCTAATGTTTCTTCATGCATCTAATCTACTGTAACTAACTCTCCATATTATCCTTTTTATTTATGATAATCCATATGTGAAGGTATACACCATGGACAGAGAGGCATTAAACAGGCAGATTATTTACAGAAATTTGTTATACTTTAGCCTTAATGTGTTAAACAGGGTGCTTACAACTGAAAATTTTAACTTTAACCTATCTCACTAGGATTAGGAGAATTTTGAATATTGAACATAAATATTTATGTATAATTAATTAATTGAACGGAATGCAATCGAATCTCTTCTCAATATTTGTTATGACGATTAACCATAATATGATGATGATTATGAAAGTGAAATCAAAAAAATATTATAAAGGACTATTACAGAAAGATTGAAAAAATAGAAAACTGAAATTTCAACTAGATTAAATACTATCAGTTTTCTTTCGACTTCTAAGACTTCTACTTAATTTAGATTCAAAACTTAAACAAGATCATAGACTAGACCAGAAAGAATTATAGCAAAAATCAGAAATATACAATCATAACCTAAGAAACCTTAAGGATAACCGTCATCTCAATCTTTAAGAGATTTTAACCATAAAAATTAAGCACCCTTAAAGGCTTCGATTATTTCCCTATAAAATTCATCTGCCTTTAGCATTCTCAATCAATCTGAATATCATCATCCTGTATTAGTAATTTAAAAGAAATCACAATATATGCCAAGATTTGTGTTGAGGTTATAAAAATAATAACAACATCTGAACTAAAAATGAAATATTGTTTAATTATACACTATTCACAGATTATTTATATTTGTTTCTAATTCATACCCTTGAAAGATTAATTTTTTTACAAATAAACTATTGGAATTATTATCTTTCTAAAATAACTTCTTTTAAATTCATTTTATTCTTTATAGTATATCTAGAGATGATGCCATTGCTTTTTACATAATTATTATTAACAATCTTAGAAATTACTCAATTTAAATATAACTATTCTAATAAATTGAAGGAAATATTCATAATTTTTCAATAATTCTTTTATATATTGTAGTTAAATTATAAATTTGATGTATTAATAATCAAAAAAATAATATCATCAAAATTAAATATTCATTAATAATTTCATTTGTCTTTCAAAAGCATCATCTCCATAAAGAATTACTTAAGGAATTAAGAATAAGTATCTTCTTGAATAGTAAAGTTGTTTTTTTAAATAAGGATGAATAAGAGTGAAAACTATTATTACAGTAGCCATCAAGAAAATCAAATAAATAATCGAAATAATCTAAATTTAATTATTTAGTTACTATGAAACTATCTTAAACTAATTAAGCCTACGATAAGAAATCAACTTTAAAAGCTAAGTTGGCTTGTTTTATTATTTCAGTTATAATAAATACTCCTTCTAATTCATTTACGGTGTTTTCAGTTTTGTTGAGAAATTAATTTTTTTATTTTTCATTCTTTATGCTTGAATATATAAAAACTAAAGCTCCTTGCAAACCTCCTTAAAGACTTCCTCCTAAAGTCTAAAAACAAAAATCCTTGCTTCTTTCAATTAAATCTAAAGATATCATTTCACATAAATTATTATTACTAAGCTCTTCTAAATATTAATTGAAATTTTAACTTAAAATGTATTAATCCCTAAATCAAATTTATAATTACATTTAAATCTACTGCAAATAGGTAGTAATATTTTAGATTTGTTCTAAACTTTTTTCAATCTGAAATAAAATTTAAGATAATTCTTCATTTTTATAAAAAGGGTATCTCCATCTATAATATAAAACCTCTCTCATAGCATATATTGTTGGAATGTTTGTTCCAAGATAAGACATTTACAAATAAAATTCACAAGTTGGCTTATATTTAATTAGATAATTTTGCATTACAAAATATTTTAATAGCCCAAAAGATATAAGAATAAACGTTTAAAATATAAGTATAATATATCTATTTCCAATAGTTTATTTAGTAGTTCGTTATCTTTAAAAGGATTTTAGAGATGAGATGTTCGATTTTTCTCTATAATCTGCTATTTCATCTTCTTTAACTTCAATTTTAAATTAATAAGATAAAATTTATTCTGAATTCATTTGATATAATTCAACAATTTTGGTTAGACGCTTTGATTCTTATAAAATTACTTATGAATCACAATAGAGAAGAAGAAGAAAAAACTTATTTAAGTATTATTCATTTTCATATTAGCAATAAATCTCTAAGGCCAAAAATAATACTTGCAAAATAAGAAATGGATAAAATAATGTTAATTCTTTAGAAATATCTAATAAGATTCTTAGATTAGTTTAGAGATATAAATCTTGATTTAATAAATCAAAAGCATTATATAAAGTTAATAGATTTCTATAAGAATAGAAAATATAAGGTGAATCAGAGACAGTTTTTCCATCATATTTATAGGCAGCTTTAAAAGTATATTAATAATTGATTAAAATACTTAATGCTTATCTCATTGTAATATTATACAATTCTCCTATATCAGTTTTTATGTAAATGTAAAAATCATAATATTCAGCTAAGAAATCTTATAAAGTCAATCTATTTAAAATTGCTGCTTAATTCTATTAAACGTCATCAAATCCTAAATTTAAATTTGAATTCGGAAATGTTAAATATTTATCTAATTAACTCTTTGTTATTGATTTTTCTGTATATTAAGCATTATAATTTATTATTGTATATCTTGTTACAATAAATGATTCAACTGGTTAAAATAAATGATATTTTATTTGAAGAAGATCTATATCAACATTATTTTAATTTAAAGTATTAAGACTATTAATGATAGATAATAGAATTTAACTTAAAAATAAACCTTAATTTAGTATTAAGATTATAACAAATAACCTTTCATATTTACTTGAATTTTTGGTTTATCTAACTTTTTCAAGAATTCCATATTTTTATATATTTTTAACAGAGTAAAATTATTTTTTATTATTTTCTTTTATAGAATAACTTTAATTGTCCTCTTCTTCTGGCAAATCTAATTAGCTTTAAAAAACATTTTAGAGAGCAAAAGGTCTTATAAATGTTTGATTATTGCTTCTTCTTTGTTGGAATTCAATATCTTTATCAATATCTACTAATGCTAATGTTTAATGATCTCTGCTAGATAAAAGGACTTCAGATTTATTAATATTATATGCATCCTATTTTTCCATTAGAAAGTCTTATGATTCATAAGGAGAGATTATTTTTATCTATTCATCCATATCATCCTTATCATGTACTGCTATCTAAATATATGATTTGAACTATTAACTACGCAATGGAATTTTTATTTAGTTTTTGATGTAATTAAATATAACTTTGTAAAATCCATATTTCGATTTAATTATGTGACAATGAGATATATAAACATCCGTTTTTGATTTTTCATTCCAAAAATCATTAATTATCATTTAGTATTATTTACTATTTACATTTTTAGAAATAGAATCTATATATGTTTAAAGCCAAAATCCACTTAAAAATTTAAGTTCTAAATATTAAACTTGATCATTTAAAGAAAGATTTGTAAATTATGGAATAACTAATTCTATTTATATTCCATAAAAGTATTTACATAAGTCATGATTAATTTCAAGTTAATCTAAAAATCCTTTCGTAAGCCCAACAATATAAAGATTAGAATCTACAATTAATGCAATAGAATCTTCAGTCGGAACAGTCGCAATTGTAATAGAATTAATTTGATCATTTTAAATAAAAACATCATTTATAATAGTAATTGGCTATATTAAATCTTCTTACTAATAAAAAGTAGATGTGACTTCTTTAAAAAAGTTGGATTCTCCTGTTCTTAGGAAATTTAGTATCATTTCTTCATGATATTCTTGTATACCTTTTGGTATAATATCTTATAAATGAGAAATTTTTGTTTTTATAACATTTTAGTAATTTGATGAAAGTTTTATAATTTATCTATTTTCTAAATTAGTAAATAAATAAATGGTTTTGATTGAATAAAAATCTAAAGTTAGAGATAAGATTTTTGTATAAATAGCTTCATCATTAAATGAAGTTTAATTCAATACTCTTATAGCTTATAAAAAATCATTACATAATTCAGCATATGCAAAAGTTAGAAATCTTTAATATCTTTTTAAAGGAAATTTTTTATATAGCTGTTCTATCGAATGTATATTTTCTTCGAAAATTTATATACAATAATTAGCATGTTTTTTTAATTTAGCTTTCTTAATTTCATTTTTATTTACAAGTTATAAAAAATTTATCTTTAAAATACAATCATTAATTAATTGTTCACTTAATTCTTAGCTTTAAGTTTCTACCTTTATAAAATTTAGAATATCAAGATTAATGAATTTATTATTTTTCGATTGACTAAATAAGTTCATTTATTATTTTAACTCAATCTTACATTTTAATGAGCAGATATTAAATTTAATTTGCTAAATTAATGATTTTGATTATTTTTTTTTTTAAATATATTCATATGCACCGTAATAATCTTCAAAAAGTAGTAATAGGGAAAATTACTATTGTTGATCCTTAAAATAAATTTAAAAATTACTTTAATCTTGATTTTTTCCATAACTGATGAGTTATTTGTTTTAATGCTTTTCTATTCTAATTGATTGAGTTTGAATAATTTTTGGCTTAAATTTCTTCTATAAAATACTTCTTTAATATTAGTATGATCTCCTTGATTTTAATAAAAAATATGGATAATTTTATGTTGATAATTTTCAAAATCAAGAGAAAATATCAACAAATTTTCAAATTTTCTTTAAGAAATTTTTATCCAAAGAGGCCACATGATAATGAATAGCATCTACAAATTTTGATTGTCTATATCATAAAATTTAATAATTAAAACTCCTAAACATAAAAATAATGAATTCAAATAAGAGGGTAATTGTAATCTCAAGAGATTTAAGTTTGTTTATGGAAGATGTATAAGTATGTTTGCGATATTTAAAATACAATTTACTATTGATAGGATAATTTGGAGCATACACAAAAATTTGATTCTGAAACCTTGTACAAATAAAACAATTTGTATTATATTTAAAAATTGGATACCAAAATAATAAAATGACTAATTCTAATGGTTGAAAGTATGATATTTAAACATTATACTAACTTTTGTAAATGCTATTCTATAAATTAAAATACAACAGTAAAATGTTGAGACAATATAATTTTAAGCTGTTTATTGTAATAATAATACTTCGATAATAACATTAAAAAGCCATACATCAAATATTTAATTCACTGAAAACACTACTTTTCTAATCATTTTATATTTGTAATTCTAACAAATAAACTGTTATGCAGTAATCCCTTAAAGTACAATATATATGAATGCTATAAAACTTCCAAAATAACAGATATATATTATCAGGCTTTAAATTGTTTCTTAATTATTCCAGAATAACTATGGTCTTACCAACTTTGCAATTAAGACTAGCAATTCATCTCCAAAAAATGTTTGATAATTAGGTACAATTGCATATGAAAATGGTATAAGTGCTCCTAGTAATCCAAAAAAATATATTAACGATTGAGTTACTTCATATTCACATTCCGCTGTTAAAGAATCACTTATGATATTCAGAACAAATTTAACAAAGACTTACTTAGACATTATTTATTTATAATAGGGAAAAAGAAATACCAATATAATGAAGATTAATTAAATTGAATTTATATTGTAAAATTTATTACTCACCCCTTATTAAAGAATAGTTTAAATTACAAAATTAAATCATTGTTTATTTATATATCATATGAGACATCTTTAGAAGATTCTAAAAACTTAAAAAATTAATAACTAAAATAAAAAAGCTATAAATATAAATTTCATGATAAAAGCAATCTGTTGGAATTTTTTTCATTTTAAATATATTTTATAAATTTAATAATTATTTGTTTATATTACAGATAATTTCATTCGTCTTAAATAACAAATCATTAAAAAAAATATGATTATCATGCCATAATTTATTGATCTTGCCTAACTGATCTAGCTAATCTTTCAAAAGCATCATCAAGAAACAAAGTCAATTAAGGTTATTAATAGAGATATCTTTTAGCAATATAGTATTATTTTTTTAAAAAAGGATTGATGATATAAAATAGAAAAATAACAGACATTAAAACAAATATCAAAGCAAAAACACACAAATAATAAAATGTAAAATAAATTTTACTATTAAACTTGATAAAATATTTTTTGTTTGATTTGTAAAATCAGCCTTCATATAAATATTTACTTATTTGTCTTCAGCATAATATAATTTTACAATAATATAATTTGATTTCGATAAATTAATTCTATTTAATGTTAAGTACTTTCAACAATTTCAAAAAATTCTTAACTTAATCCTACAATTTTATTTTAATTATCAACAATCATAATAATTTAGTTTTCTTCTTAGATTGATAATATAATTTATGCATTGAGTTGATTTTTTTCAAATAAAATTTCTACCACAATATTCACTCAAAAAATCCTTATTTAGAAATCAAACCTTCTTGAACTTTTCTAAAAAATTAGATTATCCAGTCATGATAAATTATTTTATCATTCTTGAATAATAATCTTTGATACCATTTAGAATTAAATCATCTAACATCAATTAATCCACCTTAAAGAAATCCTATGCATTATTTTAATTTTTAATTATTTACATATTATTTAGATTTACCATCAAATATGTTATTTTGGTTGAGTAAAGATCAATTTTTAGATTTTTGAAAATTTTTATAAACTTCATCCTCTCTTAAAACTACTTAGCCAAATATTTTTATTTCAGATAGATAATCATTAAGTAATTCAGCATAATAAAAGCCAAAATATTTAAAATTTTATAACCAGGATATTAACTGTAAAGATTTTGAACAAACTCTTTTAATTTTTCTAATTCTAATACTAAAATATTAGAGTTCTCATATTTGATACAAGAATAAAATAGTGCTTGTACATAATGCTATGTTCAAAATAAAAAGCAAATAATTGATTTAATAGAAAAATTGGATAATAATATGAGAAACTTAAATAAATAAATAGAGTAACCAACAATTCAATATCGCCACCATACTTATGAAAAGTAGAGAATGAAAATCAAGAATAGTCACAATTTTAAGTTTTGCAGGAAGATAAAGAGGAATTAGTGCATCAAATGAATTAGCAACAAGAATAAGATTAAATTATAATTTAAGATTAAATAAATGAAGAATGATTGATACTTTTAATTATTTTATAACTTTCAATTGTTTTCTAATTAATATGTATAGGATAGCACTAAAGATTTAGCCATTTATTCGTGATTTTTGTATACTGCTGGCATTAAGATTATACACTCTTCTTTATTCTTAATAAATCCATCAATTGGATCATGTTTTGATTAATTAAAAGTTACCTTCTATCCAATAGATTGAATATCGAATGTCAATGTTGGATCACTAATGTAGCAATTGAACATAATTTCTGACAATTTGTTAAAGAAAGCTTCGATTTAATCATTGTTATTTAGTTTTAAGTATTTTAATAATTCTATTCTGATAGATGCTTAATTTTGTATACACTTTTAATAAATTGGTTTATAATTTCCTTAAAATGATTTTCTCATCACATTTATAATTGGACCATCTATATTATTGAAACATCCAACCTAAAAATAATATAATAGTATTACCTGCATAATATTTTTGAAGAGTGGCTAAAAGTAATCTTAAATGATTTTATCTATTCGAATCATGGAAGTGGAAAAGAAATAAATAATGCCTTTTAGATTTAATTCTTAAGTCAACACATCGAAAAATATATCGAAACATTCACATTTATAAAATTCTGCAATAGAATTACTTAATTCATTTGCCATAGGGAATGAAATACTGGTATTAGAAAAACCAGATACCATACATCTGAGATGGGATTACATTTATAGTATTTCATTCTATAAGTTTTAATTTTCTTTAGATAAATTTTCTTTTTCTTTTTTAGTTAATTACAATTTATTCATCAATAGTTTAATTTTTCCTTTTAATTCTTCTTATGTTCCATCTAAATAATCTGAAGGTTTTTAGTAATTTTCTTTGGCATAATTATTCTTCATATTTAAATTATGCTGTTAAAACATTAGTTTTTATATTTTAAATTTAAATCATAATTTACAGTTAATAAAAATGGCTTTATTAAAAGACGATACAGCATTTACTCATGTTATAGCAATAGATTTTGGGACTGGAGCTTCAGGGTATAATATGAGAGTAATAAATTTTTAGATTTGGATTAGCTCCAAGAATTTTAGATAAAGAAGGCAAACCAAGAATAGAGGTTTTCAATCCATGTGATGATTCAGATGATCAAAAAACTCCAACTGCTATTCTGTTTGATAATAATGGTTAATTTATAGAATTTGGATCTTAAGCACTTTAAAAATATGCAAATATGATTGATGATGGTGAAACAGCCCATTTGTTTTAAAATGTATAAAATAATTATAAAATTCTAAGTATAAAATGCATTTGTATCATATGCATAATTAAGGTAGATCATTAGATAATCGTGAATTGCCATTGATGATGATAATAAGAGAAACATTAAAATATATAAGCAATAAAGCAATTTCTAAATTAAAAGAATAAGTAGGAAAAGTAATACCTACTAAAATCAGATGGGTATTAACAGTTCCAGCTTTATGGAGTGAGGAACATAAATAGTTTATGAGAAAAGCAGCAGTTGAAGCAGGTATAGTAGATCATATAAATTCTCCAAATTTATTGCTTTGTTTAGAACCAGAAGGTGCATCTATTCAATGTAGAGAAGATGCTGAATCAACATTAAAAGAATAAATGGCAAAACATTCGGTTGTAATGGTATTAGATTGTGGAGGTGGTACTGTTGATATAACAGTACATAAATTATTATGCGAGCCAAATGAAAAATTTCTATGTAATGAATTAATACCATCTTCTGGTGGTTGTGAATGGGGATCTAAATATGTTGATCTCTATTTTGAAGAATTTCTAAAGGAGTTCTTAGGAGATAAATTATTTAGATCATATCAATTAAATGCTATTGCTCGTTTAGACATTTTAAGAGATTTTGAAATTCTTAAAAGGAAATTTAAAGGTAATAAAGATGAAAAATGTATGATCAAATTTTCATATTTGGGAGAAGAATTAAATACAAATAAATTATCTTAATTAGTTAAAGAACATAATTAAAAACATCCTTCAGAATATCAAGTTAAATTAAAAGGCTTATCTAATGTTGAAATTCCTTCAGCACTTATGGCTTCTTTCTTTTAAACACTTTTTGAAAATATTAAAAATAAGGTTGCTTAATTATTAGTTTAAGTAGAACAGAAAAAAGAAAAAGTAAACTTTATATTTATGGTTGGAGGTTTTAGTGAATCTCCATTCTTGAAGCAAGAAATTATAAAAAGATTCGAAAATAATACAATTTAAATTTTAGTACCAAGAAGACCATAAGTTTCAGTAATAAGAGGAGCTTGTTTATTTGGTTTAAGTCCAAGATCAATTACAAGTAGAATAGCTAAGAAAACTTATGGAATAAATACATTAACAACTTTTGATCCAGAGAGACATCCTATTAAGAAAAAAGTAATAATAGAAGGAGAAGAATTTAGTGAGGATGTATTTGATGCATTTGTAAGAAAAGGAGATGCTGTAGGGTATTATTATATTTACTATAAACATTTAGATGTGATGAAGTTCATACTAAAATATATTGTCCAGTTAGATCTAGATAAACAATAATGAGAATCATTTTCTATGTAACTGAAAAAAGAGAAGTAGAGTTTGTTGATGAAATAGGAGTGTAATAATTAGGGGAATTGTGTATAGATATTGGAAAACCATTATAATCTGTAGAGGATAAGACAGTAAAAGTTACTCTTTTATTTGGTAATACTTGTATTTATGCAACTGCCACAAATAAAGATGGAACTGAGATTAAAAACTGTGAATTCAAATTCGAATGTGGGCAATGATCATTTTAATTAATAAATGAATAATAATTATTTATTTTTCCATTAATAATTAAGTGTGAATAATATTAATAAAAAAACGAAAATAAAATGAAATATTTACTTATATTTCTTGCATTTTCAATAACTATTTGCATTAAATTAGAACTCCTAGAAGTATTTCATCAATCTATTGATTGGTAAGCCAACTATCAACCAACTTATGAAAAATAAATGAAAAAATTAGAAAGACAAATCTAGATTATGAAAGAATAAAGAAGAGCTAAAAATCAATAATGTGATCGTATTCAAAGAGGATTAGATTTTATTATCAATGAGTATAGAGTTTATATTAATTAAGAAAGGAAAAAAATGAAAAATTTACATCCTGGTTAACATCTCGTATAGCATAAAACTAAAATAGAGTTGAAAAACTCAATTAAATCAAATGTTAAAGTAGTTCTTCATTTTATGAAACTATGAATGAACAAAATAGAGTTAATAAATTAAACTAATTTTTTGTTAGTTGGATTAGTAGAGATTAGAAATTGCTTCAGTTATAAGATACTTAAGCCTTTATTTAAGAAATGTAGGTAGATAATGAATTTTAAGATGCATTATTAATTTTATCTGGTATATGTAATTCAATTAATTTAAGAATAAATTAGATCATGTAAATTATCACCTTTCAATTAAAAGAATATTGATAGAAGTGAAAGTTCAAGAAGAGATTTTGAATAAAATATTTTCACTTTAGAAAAAGTATTGAACTAAAATAATGATTTAATGGAACTTAATGAAGTGAGAGTTTAAGATAAAATAACTAAGTTTATACAATAATTAGATAAAGAAACTGAATAATTACAAATTCATTATGAATCTATAATGAAAATAATTAATAAAAGTCCTGTTGAAATTACATCAAAATAAAGACTTGAATAATGTAAGAAGGATGTATTTAGTATTGATAAATTGATTGAAGCAACATAAGAAGCTTTAGAAAGAATTAAAACTTGTGCTCCAAGTGAAAGTATTAAATATTTTTGAACTATTAAGGTTTAGCATTTAAATAAAAGAGAATTTTAAGTTAGATAGCAAAAGAATACTCTTAAGGTGTTGCTAAATTTGAATAAAAATGAATTCATAAATAAATTCAATAATCAATGTGATTTACATTTTTTTTTAAATTATATATATTAATTAATAGTTATTTAAATTAATCGTTAATGGACACAACTCAATTAAAAACAAAAGTGCTATATGAGTATACAAAGAAAAATAAATCATTATTGGATGAATGGTCTGAAAAAACTGTTTAGGCCTACTTAGAGTAATGCAGAAAATTTACAGAGGAAATGTATTCAGGAAATTTAACAATGGTTGATGATGGATATAATTAAACTTAAGAAGAATTGTTGACTCTTGAAAACTTGTTTAAAAGTATAAATTAAGATTGAAATCTAGATTACATAAAAACAAAAGGAGATATATAACATAAACTTCGAATAGGATATTCAATTGCAAGAAAACTTTATATGGAGAATTTACAATAAAGAGTATTTAAAGTATTTAGAAAATAAGTGAAATATTAAAAATATATCAGAAGTATGAAGTTTTATGCAGCTAAATATTATAAGTAAAATTTTGTATATAAAAAAGATAGCGATTTCCAAGTTAAATATTTAGTAAATGGAGGAAATTAGCTCATAATTAAACAAGATAAGCTATATTGTAATAAGTGAATAGGAAAACTGATAATGAAATAATGTAAATGCAAAAAGAATATGAATAATTGATAGGTTAATTGGAAAATGTGTTAGAGAAAAAATTAATTGAATTAAAAGTAGAGGAAGAATAACATAAAGAGTTAGTTTTAAGATATGATGGTATAGTTGAAAAAAGAACTGCAGTAAAGCATTGATTTTTAAAATTATTTTATATTTTTTAATTATAAACATTTATTATGCCAATTAGATATGTAGATGTACTAACAGTGGAGTAAGCATTAATAAAAGCTGGAAATGGACACAAATTCTAAATTAGATCCTTAGTTATAATGAGCTTATAGTATATGGTAGCAGGAATGTTTCACATTGCTATAACGGAATTGTATTCTCATCAAACACAATATAAATGCATAGATCAATAATATAATTTATATTAATTAATGCAGTGAAGAGGAATTTTGCAAATCATATTATTAAGAAAATATAGAGAAAGAAATTAGAAAATGAATTAAAATCAATTCTACTCAAAAGATTGATTTTCTAATTACGTGTTTATAATTGTTTATAATAATAAATAATAATTTATAATGAGTTTTGCTGGATTAGGGACGAAAGTTGAGAACGATGATAATATAGAGTAATAATAAAAGTCTCAAGAAGGTTGGAATATTGAGGAAGAAGATTTCCATTCTGATGGGGGAAGTTAAGATCAACAACCATAATAATTAAACAATTCTAGAAATAACCCAAATTAATCTGAAAAAAAGAACGATTGGGAAATTGATGATGATATTGATGATTTTGCCTAATCTACAACAGAAGTCAATAAAAAAGAAGAATTACAATAAAAATTTTAATAAGATGAATAAAAATCATTAGAATAAGTAGATATGTGGGGAAAATTTACAAATACCGTTTAATAAACTTAAACTATTGAAAAACTAATTAAAGAAAGTGCACCTTAAAAAATTAAGTAAACCTTTTAAAATATATTTGGATCTTAAAATAGTGGATAAACTAATATTAATATTACATAAGAGAAGACATAAAATAGTAAAGTCTTTGCAAGTGTTTAGCAAGTTATTGATATGAAGAAATTATTGGAGTTTGAAAAGTATGCTTTATTATAAATTAGATCTGAACTAGAAGATTAATTAAAACTTAGAAGAATTTAAGCTGAAAATGAATTAAGTGAGCAAAAAGCAGAATTAGAAGATAAAATAAAACTATTCACAATAGAAAAAGAACAATTTAATAAATAATTAAAGGAAACCAAATAATTATTTAAATTGTCTGAACTTATTGAACCTCATGATAATCATCAAGAAATCATTTGTAAATTAAGTAAAGAGAATGAAAATTTAAATAATGATATTACTAAATTAATAGAAACTTAAGAAAAATAAATAAATGATTATGAAGACAATATTGAACAAATGTAATAAGAAATTGAATATTACAAAAACTAGTTTATAAAATATTAATCAAAATATTAAATTGTTAAAGAAAAGATTAAAGTAGAGATTCCAAAAATTTAAAACTAGTTAAAAACTTTTAAAAAATAAGAATTGAAAAAATAAGTTACAAATCAAATTGAATAATTTAAGAACTATCATAATACAAAATATAATGATTTAATATAAAGTGCATAATAGTTAACATTTTAATAGTTGAAATAAATCAGCATTCTCTAATAAGATAATATTTAATTGATGTAGTAAGTTGAAGAATTAGATGAATTAAAAGAAGAACACTAATCAAGTTAATATATAATTAAATAGTTGAGAATTTCTGAAGATAAATTAATAGAAGAAAATGAAAGAATTCAGAATTAGAATTAAGAAAAAGAGAATTAAATCTAAGAACTTTAGGATTAATTAATTATTTTGAAAAAAGAATTTAATAAAGAGAAATTTGAGTTAATTTAATAAATAAAGTCATTATAACAAGAAGTTGATTAACTAAAAGCAAATTAATAAAATTATGTTGAAAAATAAAGTATGATAAAATTAGAACAATATTTAACAGTTATTTAAGAAGAAAAGAAAGCAGTACTTATTAATTTAGAAAATAAAGAAACATAAATATTGCTTTTAGAATAATAAATTTAAGATTTGAATGAGGAATTAAATAGATAATAGAAAAGTGATGGTAATGATATTTGGTAGTAAGAGGATAAAGGATGGGATTTGGATGATTCATTTTAAAGAAAATATGATGAATGTAATATATTGAATAATTTAATAGTGGAGTTACAAATGATTTAATATCGAAATGAAAATCATGAATTAAAATATTAATTAAAAGAAATAGGAGTTAGAATGTTATAATAATAACATAAATAAGAGGCATAAGTTGAATAGATGCATTAATTATAGATGTGTTTAGTTGATACAGAATATTAGAAAAACTTTTAAAATGCTGTTCAGTAATACTTAAAAATATTTAAGATAAGAAAGAATATAAGAACTAGAAGAATAAATTTCAATTGAAAAAAGGAAATTTTCAGATGAAGAAGAGAAAGTTAGCGAATAAAATTTATAGGTTGATGAAGATTCTTAAAGAGCAATAAATGAATTAAGATAAATAGATTATGAAGGAAATGCAGCATAGAGAGAAGATGGAGCTTGGGAATTTGAAGATAGTCTTAATGTTGATATTTAAGAAGTATGTTTATATTATTAATAATATTTAGTAAGAAAATACTAATGAATATTAAAATATTTAATTAAATTAAGGATAAAATATTCAATAGCAAGATTATGAAAAATAAGTAGATGAAGGCTCTGATTTTTAAGATGAAATATAATAAATTAATGATTACTAATCCGATGATCAAATATCAAATAAATAGTCAGATAATTAAATTAATTATTAAAATAATTAATCATTAGAAGAAGAATAAGAAGAACTAAATAGAGATGAAGAATGGTAATAGGATGTAGAAAAAGATTAAGATATACAATCAGAAAATGAAGCTTTATTACAAAATTATGAGGAAGAAGATAATGAGAATTATGAAAATATTGAAGATTATATCGAAAATTAAGATTTAAAATTAAATTAAGAATATCAGTAAAATCATAATTTAGAAGAATATCAGTAAAAAAATATTTAAGAAGAATATCAGAAAAATCATCATAAATATCAAGATTAAGAATAATAATTATAATAAGATGAGTCAGTAGATGAATCAATAAATTAATCAGTAAACGCATCATAAAATGATCAAAATTATGAAGCTTAAGAAATTTATGTGGATTAAAATAATTTTGATAATTAAAACTTATAAGATAGTCAATAAGATTATGAGGAAGCAATTGAATAATAAAGAGATAGTTAAATTTCACAAGTAGATTCTTAAAATTAAAATGATGAGTATGAAACTTAAAAAAATAATGAAGATTAAAAATCATCAAGTTATTAAGAATAAAATTATGAAATTTAAGAAAATGATTAAGTAAATAATTTTAATGAAGAATTTAATCATGGATAAGAAAATTAAGAAGAACAACAACAATTTAGCGAAAACAATGATGATGAATAAAATAATAGTGATGAAGATTTAAATAAAAGTGATAATCAAAATAATTATTAAGAATAAGAATAAAATTAGGATAATAATGATAATGAAGATGAATAGGAAGAATATAATTAAGTTTAATAAAATTTAGAGGAATAATCAAATGAATTTCAAAATTAAGAAATAGAACCAGAACCATAAATATAATCATAAATAGAATAATAAAAAAGCCAAGAATAATTATAAGAAAATGATAAAGAACATAAAGATAATTAAGATTAATTATTTTAAGATATTGATCTATAAGTTAATTTAGAAAATAAATAATAAATACATGATAAAAGTCATTAGTAAGAAGAACAAATAATGGAAAATATAACTTGTTAATAATAATAGTATATTGTTGATTAAGAAGAGGACAATTTTGATAATGAGTTGGAAGTTTAAGAGAGTAATAATGAAGATGTATAATAAAAAAATGTAGAAGTTGAAATAGATGATTAAATTAATAAAGAATAAGAGTAGTTAGAAATTGAATATTAGATTATAGTTGAGCCAATTTAAAATTTGAATGTTGATAATTAAATTAATGAGAAAAATATATTTGAATAAGAAGCTTTCAATCCACATAATGAAAAACCTAAATGTGGAGATCTATTAAAAATGGTTATTAATTCTTCTAATTAATTAGAAATTAATTATAATATTGATTTTAATTCATAAAGGAATATTCCATCATAATGTGATCTATCTCCTTCTTGTTAAGATTTAGGTGTTTAAGAATAGATCTCAAAACAACCCTTATTTTCAGAACGAAAATCTTATGATAAAATAATATATGATCAAGATGAAGGTTTTTAAATGGTTTAATAACCTTTATAATTTAATGTCAAAATAAATTAAATATAAATTGATAATTAAAATGTTATAGAAGAATAAATTAGCAATTAAATTGAAAATCCAGATGAAGAATAAGTTAATCAATGGGATGTTGATGATGATATTGATTTTGAAAATGAAGCAGAAAATTAATAAGTTTAAGTAATCTAAGAGAATAATAGTAATTAAGAAATTGCTTAACAGAATATTAATAACCAATCATAGAATTAGTAAGAAAGAGATAATAAAATATAATAATAAATTTAAGATTAATAATTTGAAGAATAAACTCCTGAGATGTAATTTGATGATAATGTTAAGAATTAAGAATAGTAAAACAATATAAAAATACAGAATGTAGAAAGACTAAGTTAAGATTAGTTGTAAATAGATGATGAATTAGAAGAAATAGATCCATGGGCTTAATAATAATAAGATCAAGGGGAAAATATATAATCAGGTTGGGATTTAGATGATGTATGATTATTGTTAAATATATATTAAATGTTTATAATTGATACTCAAAAATACAATCCTAAAGTTATGTTCACGAAGATAAAAATAATGCTGAAAAAAAACCCAAAACCAATTCTTTTGTCAAAACTCTTTATTCCTTTTATTTAGTAAATTAATAATTTTTAATTAATATATAATAGCTTAAATCACAAAATGAAATAAAAGATAAAATCCAATTCATATAAGAACTATTGATAAATTAATATAGTTTTTTGGTTTTATTGGAGTTCAATAAGCAGCAGAATATACAATCAATAATAATTATTATTAATTTATAATATTTTGTTTTATAGTTAGTAATTTAAATTTGAATGAGTTTTGTAAACGATTTAGATGATCTCTGTGATTTTAGTAAATTAAGTCAGAAGTGGAAATAAACTAAAAATGAATAATTAAAACAAACTTCACCAAGTCCTTCAAAAACTGAATCTGAAATTACTTCTAGTAAATGTGCAATTAATCCTTGGAATAAAGGTTTTATTGCTAAATTATCTTAGAAAATTTTGTACTGAATAATGAAGATGCCAAAAAAAATATTAGCAAATCTAGAAATCATGCTCCTTAAATTATTGATGAAGACACTGAACAATTTAAAATTAGATTAGAACATATTTTAAATGTATTCAAAACAGAAGCTACAAGTGAATTCATGACTATGAAAAGATCTATGTTAGAAGATTAAAAACAAACTATTAAATTAGATACTGAAAAATATTTGTAAATGTATGAATTAAAAAATAATGAATTACAATAAACAAAAGAATAATTAGCTGAATAAATGAGAATTTGTAATTAGATTACTGAAAGATCAGAAAAAATAGCTCAATATTGTGGTAAAATGAAAAATAATAAGAGAAGATAAACTGTTTTATCAAATGTATTAAAAAGTTTAAAACAATATACAAAATATTCATAGAGAAAAAAATATGTATAATATACATCTATTATAGAATTAAAAAAAAGCAATTAGACATTATAAATTATTTTTATAAAGATTAATTTTTAGTTTATGGAAAAAGTAGTTCAATATTCAAATTAGAATTAATTAATCTGAAAAGTTAAAATTAACACATTAAAATGATATTGATTTATTAATGGCTAAATTTTAAAAGGAATAATAATTATTAGAATAGAAATTATTTGAAGCTACATCCTAATTAGATGAAGCCAATAAAATTAAACTGTCAATGTAGGAAAATTTAAAAAGAGCTTTTATGAGAGGAGTTTGTGCTTTAAATTTTGAAGCTATGAATGTTTTAAATGGATCATCTTAATAAATGGAATTAGATTCTTTAGCAACTAATTTATTGATGAATCCATATTAATAATCAAATACATAATAGTAATAATCAAATATTCATTTAAACTAATAATTTAATTAATTTAATGATACACTGAATTTAAACGAAAGCAAAGATTAATGGCAAAGATAACATTCACCTCCTAAAAATATTATATACCATCAATAAAATAGATTAGAAACAAATGATCATCGATGGAAAGATGCTCCAATTATTGGAATCAAATAGTTATCAGAAATTGCTGAAAATTAAAGCATCAATATGTCGATATCAAAATTAGTATAATAAGGTAAAATTATAGATTTACTTAGATGATCAATAGTTTGATAGAGATGAGGAATAAAATGAAGGGAAGGTAATCAAAGTAAATTTTGACAATCCATCAATTGTATAAACATAGACATAATCAATAAAAAAATAAACAGCCTAAATGAAATAACCATAAACTAAATAATCTTCAAAATAAAATATAACAACTAATTAATCAACATTTAAGAAAAAATGAATTTATTAATTATGCTTCAATTATTAATCATCACTTTTATGAAAATGGAACCTTTTATATTTTAACTTTATTATCATAATTTTTTAAATATTTAACAATAGATTATATGTTATTTTTTCCGCCTAAAGGTTAGATAACATAATGATCATTTTCTAATTATTTTATTTGAAATCCATTATGTTTAATTATGCTTCTAAATTAATTAGGTAAAAAACCTTTCCCTTTTTATTCTATAATAATGTCATAACCTGTAATTTCTTACTTAGGTATTTCTATTTGATTAAGTTTTACATTAATTTCTTAATCTAATTTAGATTACCTTGTTGATTAACTCTAAGTAGAATTATATTATGATTGTTAATTCTTTTATTTTTAATATTCTGCTTCTAATTATTGCTCTTAAATTTCTAATTTCTTATATTTTAAAGAGTCATGTTTGAGAAAATTCAAATTAAAAGCCATAAAATTAGTTTTACCAGGATTTTTATGTTCTTCATAATATTTTCCAAGAGTATTAAATAATACACTTTACTATGATTATTTATTTTCTACTTTTATATCATCTTTTCTGAATTCTGCATTTAAAGTTCCTCTTACTTATTAAGATTATTAAAATTAAGGTTCTGTAGTTGCTCTGGAAGAAACAAAGTCTGATTACTTTTTTTTATTATTTTAAAGTGCTTGTTTATCATTTCTAATTTAAGTTTTTGTATCATTAAAGATATTGCTTTATAAGTAGCTTTGTTTATTTTTATTAGCTAAATATTAATTTTCTTCGTAATCTTATTTAGTATTGATTAGTTATGAAGGTTTTTATTTTAGAGCCTCTCCTACTGAATTAGATAATAATTCTTTAATTTTAGAGTCTTAATGATAAGTTTAAGACTTTTTTCTGTTTTCAATAGGGTAGCGACTTTCAGGAAAGAGAAGCATTAAAAAAAAAATAAAATTTATATATTTTATCAATATTTAGTCTAATTTTAAACATATATATTTAATTTGTTGACATCATTTTAAGAATAAAATAAATTTGAACAAAAAACAATATTAATTAATTTTAACGTGATATTATTAGATAATTATAATATAATATCAATAAAACATTTTTTTTTCTATTAGAGAAGATCCATGTTCATCATAATCTGATTTATTTAAGGTCCATTGATCATAAATTTAAGAACTAGCAACAATAGAAGCTCCTAACCAAGAAGCATGTTAACGATCGAAAAACTTTGGGAGAGTTTATACTTTACTTCTAGAAGATAATCCAAAAATTTTAAGATTATTAATAGTTCTTTAAAATCTTTCAACCATATTAACAGTACAACTAGCACCTCCAATCAAAATTACATTTTGAACTAATTCTTTTCTATAGTCAGAATCAATTTTTTCTAAACTTGTTTCTAAAGCTTTATCTAATCCTTCAAAATATTCTGTAGGTTCAAATAAAAACTCAGGATATTTATACATTTCTTCAGATATTAGTAATTTAGTTTAATCTGGTAATTCATAAGCTTAATTATCTACAGTTGGATTGAATTTTCTTAAAATTAATAATTATATATAAGTACAAATTTTCAATAGGTTAATCATAAAGTTTAACACATTAATGTTTAATTTCTCTCACAATTTCTAAATCTCCATACATTTATAGAGAAGGTGAGAGTTGACTATAATTTTTAAATCTAGAAAATGCTAGTCCTTGTTATTTCCAGATTTCATATAATTTATTTGTTATATATTCACCACCTATTTCTCCTTTTAAAATACCTAAAATAAATATATATATAATTACCTTTTTCAATAACATTACCATCTAATACAGGTGTAATTGTAGTATGTGATGCTCCACAATCAACAACTAATACATTATCTTTTCCTACTATATATTAGGCTAACATTGTGTTTCTATGAAAAAAGACTGAAGAAACATCTATTTCTTCAAATAGCATTTCTATGATTTTATTTCTGGTTTCTTTTTTAACATTACCATTTTCAACAAAGAAAAAGGGGAAATGTCTTTCTTAATATAAAACATTATTTAGAATGTGTTCTACATATTCTTTCCAAATGTCAAAATCTACTATTTATCCTCCTTAAAGTATATTTTTAACATCGAATCCAATTGGTTGATAAGTACTATTTTATTCAATAAATTTCATATTTCCTTCACTATCCATTAATAAATCAGATGGCAAAACAACTTCAGGTCCATCTGTTCCTGCATATCCAACTCTTGTATTTTATTATCCAAATTCAAATATAACAGGGATTTTATATCCTTTATTTTTTTTGTATGGTATGAACATTAAAATTTAATTAAACAAAAAATTATATATTTTATAAATAAGTCACAAAATTTATAAATATTCATTTAAGTTTATATTTTTTAATTAGTTTCTTTGATTATATTTTGATATAATTTACAACACAATCATAATTATTTTGAGGTTTAAACTATTAATAAATTCCAATTTAATCAATATCAAAGTTATCTTTAAGATCTTATTTGAATATAACATTATCTAAATCACTATAATGTTAATTTTATTTAGAAGACAAAGCTGAATAAGATCTAGAATTACTAGCAGATATAGATTTTTTTTTAATATCAGGACTAATTACACTAGATATTGTATTCGTTTATTTTTAAGTAGTTCTTCTAACACCAGTATAAGTATTATTTTATCCTTCTCTTCTTTAAACATCATCAATACTAGACATACCAACAGAACTTATAGACATTGCTGATTAATATGGATTATTCATTATTTAAATATTTAACATAGAATTGGTTTCTTCTGATACAATAGGTAATTAATTTTAAACGCTTGGAACATAATTAGTAGATGATCTATATTATGGTCTTGCCATAACTTAATATTCAGGTTATGGAGAAGAAGCTAACACTTATTTTTAATTTTATTCATGATAAAAGGGATCATAAGAAAAAGTTAATTTTGGTTGAGCATTTCTATTATTACTCACTAAAAGTTAATTTGTTCCATGGGGACTTTGAATATATGTTTTAGATTAATATAATGATTATTATGGTTATTATTAAATTTGTTGTTATTATTATGCTTATTTTAATTATTAACTTTTTTAACTCTAATATGTATTTTATCCACTTGATGATCTAAATGTATTACTATTCTGAGTAAATTATTTATGTTGTAATGGAATATTTATTGCATCTCCAAAATATAAATCTTCATTATTTTAAAAGCCAGCTGTTTATAGGGTTTATTTATTAATTTAATGTCTATTTATTTCTTATTATTATTATTATTATTATTATTATTATTATTATTATTATTATTATTATTATTATTATTATTATTATTATTATTACCATTATAATTAATAGTATTATAATTATTCTTCATTATCCACATGATCATGATATATTATATCCTTTATAGTTTAACCAGATATTATTTCTACACTTTTCTAAAATTAAATAAATAATATACTCTTGATGGATTAGTTAAATCTTTATATGATTATCTGCCATATTATATTTCTTCGTCATTTTCATCTTCATCTTCTATTACCTCTTCTTCATCGTAGTAATAATTAATAGGATTATTTACTTCTGGCTCATGAAATATGAATCCATAATTCTTTTTCAATCTTCTTCCACAACTTTTAACCAATTTAAAGTTAAATAATGAATTGACTCTTTAATCCCATTTTCTCTCATATTTTTCTCTCTTTTAAGGAATCGAATATAAATATCTACTTATTACAACATTTCTATTTAATACTGTATGTACTTTATTACATCCAGAACTTAAATGATATTATGAACCACATATATAACAATTTTACAATAGTAATTCTATCCTATTCATAAATTACACTTCATTCTTTATTGAATGCAATCTTTCTAAATCATTATTGATCTTTTTTATTGTATCCAAAAATAACTAATGTTTTATTTAAATTAATATTGAATTTCCTTTACTTCTCATAGTTTAATTATGTCCTTAACCCATTAATAAATTTTCAATTCCTATTGCTTAAGTTTCAGGTAAATCCTATAAATAAACATTCTTGTCATATATTCCTATTTATCCTTTAAGAACTACATATATATGTTCATCTAAGTGTCCTTTCTCTACTATAATATCATTAGTCTTATAAAATTTAAGAATAGATTCATATCCTATTTCATCTAATGATTACTTTGAAAAATTCTCCTTCAAAAAACTTATCTCTTTTAATCTCCTACTCTTCATTAAAAAAAACAAAGGCTTTTATAAATTAACTGGTAAGGATTGCATCAAATTATTTACCTATTATGTATGAAATTCTTATATTACAATTTAGAAAGTGCTTGAATATTTATTTTATTTTAAAACATCTTTTGTTTCTTCTATCATTTTCAAGTCAACTTTATTTCTCTCCAAAAAATCTATAAATATCTTTATTCTAAAATTTAAACTAAATATTACTCATCTTTTGAGAACAAAAGTTTAATAAATGAATATACAAATATCATTTAAAAAAAGTAAGATATAATCTAGAAAATTACTATGTATGTCTAATGCGATTAAACATGTGACTCTATATTATGGAAAGGCAACTGTCTAATTCTAGTTAATATTATACACAATTGTTAATTGTCCAAATCACAGATTCCATATAACTGAATTCGTCATCATTAATTAATAACCAGAGATTTGCAATATAATTGATATATATCAATAAAATTAATGAGAATGTTATTTTATTCCATTAAAATTAATATTTCATTCCACTCAATAACAAAAGTTACAAACTTAATTTAACAATATTATCAAAATCAAAATTTATTAAAAAAGTACTTGCAATATAAATAAAATTACAAACGATATTTATTTTCTCAAATTTCACTTATTAAATTTAATCTACAAATTCAATAATTAAACATAGTAAAATCACTCCTAAAACCCAAAATTAAATGGAATTTGTTCCAGCTTACAATGGAACTATAAAAAATGAAATTAATCTTATATATAACAGGAATAATCTAATGTATAAAATATAAGGAGTTTAAGGTTACACATCTTCCTTTAAGTAGTTTTCTGTGAAATACATTTTCTTATTAGAAAATTCAGCAATATTTGCATTTCTTTTCAATTTCTAAAGAAAAGTCTTTATAATTTACTATAAATCAGGATGCTTTGGCAAACCATTTAATTCTTTCCATTTTAATTAATAATATTATTTTGCTGATGCTGTACATTATTGTAAGTTCTAATTATGCTCACCTTAATCCTTATTACGATTGTTTATTTAAGAAAATTAGGAAAGTCTAGATTTACGCTAACTATAAATAGTGGGATCTTTAACTTCTCCACTGTCGCTTAACCTCTTCCTTGATAAGTCTGAAAATTCAATTTTAAAATTTCTCATTTATTCATCAATTAAAATAGGTGAGGCATGACTTTAACTTTGACTTTAATCATTCTGATTAGTTCTTGATTTTCTTAAAAGTCTTTTAGACATTATATTATATATATATAAATTAATAAAAAGCTATTTTAACTGCTTCAAAAATATTTAAATTACACAACAATACAATCATTATTTAGTTTTGCTATATGATCTCTATTCTTCTAAATCTGCTATATCATTAATTTATTTTAAGATTACACTACTATTAACTTTTGGATATCTGTATTACATATAATTCATTAATTTATCAGTTTTCTAATAAATATAGAAGTTAAATACATTTAGTTTTATTTATGATCTCAAAAACATGTATTCTGAATCTCCAATCAATTCACTACATAGTTATTTTTTACTGTCTAAAAGATTTTAAAATACTGAATCCAATTGTTTTTCATAAGGAATTGAAAATCTTGGTGGATTATCAATTTTAATTTATTATTTTTTTTTATGATAAAAAATAGGTTTAACAACCCCAACATAATATTTGTTAGTTTAAGTTTATGAAAGAAACTATTATTATTAAAATATATCTTCTTTTCGTTTTATTTCAGTTTTTAAATTTTCTTATTCAAGTTATCTATCAGAAGAATACTTTTTGGTATGTTATTTTTATTAAAATATTTCAGGTAATTTTGAATTCGAGAAATTTTTTTTAACAACAACTTCCTTTGAGATTTATTTAGGTGAATGTAAATCAAATTCATTAAATGAATATTAAACAGGATATGAGATAGTAGTTTCTGAACTATTAATCCAATACATTAAATGTCTTTTTTATTCTAAAGAAAATTAATAGTAAGGTCTATTTATAGCCTCTTTAACTTCTCTCATTCTTAAAATCTATAAAATATTTGGTCTTTGATTTTCTCGAATAGTTAAACAAACATTAATTAATTTTATTAAACCAGGAGAATAAAAGTCAGAAATATTTATTTATATTCTACCTCTACGTAATTGTTCCTTAATTTAATTTTCCAAAGTAGTTTAAGGGAATAAGAATTTTTAGGAGACCATAAAATAAAGTATATGCCCAATCTACCAAATATGAGACTTTTGTGTATATTGACCATCAAAAAAGTATTCATATGGTAAATATATAGCTGGACAAGGCAATTAACATAATGTTTATCTAGAAGACTTATGGAAATCAGTTATTCTTATTTAATATCCTTCAGTTCTAGCCAGTAATAGAATGTTTTCTGGTAACAACACTCTATGTTATATACCCAATTCATTAAGTTATAGTAATGCATAAGCCATTTAAAGAAATAGTGACCATATAATACTCTCTTGCATTTTGTAACCGATATGTTATTAAGTAAAAGTTTTTAGATCTCCTTAATCACAATATTCTTAAATTGTTACTAATTATTATTCTTCATTCTCCATATATTCAATTACTGATAACACAAACTGATTCTTTATCTAAGCTAACATTTTTATTGCATTTAATCCTATTTAATGATTTAAATTTATACCTTCATTCTTATTAGAAAGATAGGTTTTCTAGATATATGTTTAATTATCTGACATAGATCTTACTTTTTCAATTCGAACTCTTCCACTTGAATAAATTTCTTATAGTATTTCGTAATTAAATTGCATTTGTTTTAATAATAATAAAGAAATTAAATCAATAATTGTAAAATGTAGTATTATCTTCTCCAAATTGTGCAGTCTTATTTTTTTAATACAACAATTATTATTTCATTTATTTGTTTTTGTTTGGTTATTATTCCTCTAATTTTTCAGACATTTCTTAACTTAATGCTCCTAAAAGTGCACATAAAATTAGCTTTATAAAAATACAACATTTACTTTAAATATAAAAGAAATATAGAGTAAAATTAAGGCTAATCTATTAGGACTTTTCTCTATAGCATAATACTTATCAGTTTCAGTTGCATCACTTCCCCAAAATCCTTGGGAATACTTTATTGCCCATACCAAATCACACAATAAAGATATCCCTACAGCTACAGTATAATATAATAAACGTGATTTGTAAAGTCTATTGAATTCAAATTCTATTATGAATAAAAAACATAAAATTAACTAAGTTGAATTTAAATATTAAAATTTACATCTAAAAATTGACTTTTACCAAAACAAATAAATACACTAAGTCCCATTACAACTAATATGCATAATCTAGTATATAATTTGTAATTATATTATGTACTAATATTATTTATAGGAGTCATCACTAAAGTATTTGGTGGTTAATGATTTATTGCCAATTCCTCTTTATTTATACTTCTAATTAATTAAACATAACTTGGAAATGGTTCATAGAGTGTTGCAAGATCTCTCTCAAAATCTATTAAATCATCTTATGCAGTTTTTATTTATTCATTCCAAACTTCAATTTAATTACTTAAAGATTTAGAATCATTAAAAATCCATTAAGATTTTAATTTTATTTTAGTTTAAGTTTATTATCCATTTTTATCAAATAATTAACAACAATCTTCCATTTTTGTTTAATTAGTCAAATGTGACAAGGATATTGTCACAGTTCCTAATAATTATGGTATATTTGGATGATTTATTGTGTAAAAAAATAATTATAATTCTTCTAAACCAGTTGAAATTTTGCTAAAAATATATAATTAACTTACAAATTAAATGTTTTGTTCCATTAAGGTGATGGCCCATTTTATTATTAAATTTCTTATTTTTAATTTTCTAATTTTAAAATTACTGACACATTTTATGATGGAAAATTCATTCCTTCTAATAATTCAATGGTCAAATAACTATCTTCTTTAATTCCATATTAATTTACTCTTTCACTATCTTTTATAGACTTAATTCTTTATTTACAATAAATACATCAAATTAATTTGATACATATTTTCTTTATTTATTATAATCTAAAATTTGTTTTTTACAACTTTCTATTTTATTCTTTAAAATTTCTTCTGCTTGTAAAAACACCTTGATAAATTCATCAACAGTTATTTTATTATTAAAACTTTTATTCATCCTTTAATATAATTGATCACCTAATTCTCTATCAAATTGTCTTCTTAACTAATTTTTGTCGTAGATTATACTTTCTTATCTAAGCATCTATAAAATTATTCAATAGATAACAATTCATCATGATTTATTTCTATTTCTAAAAATTCTTTTCTCAATACATTTGCCTTTTCAATTGTATTAACCGAAGTTGACATTTTATATATATATTTGAATAAATTAATTATGAAATTAAAGAAATTATCATCTCAAAAAGAGAATTCCAAATAAGAATAAAAAAAAAGTATAATGAATTTATAAAATAGTGAGAAGAGGATTCAAAGCATGTAAATAATGTGGAGTCTAACTTCACATTCATTAAAAAATTTGTAAAAATTGTAATCATGAGAATACATTTATTAATAAAGATTCACATAAATAATCTAAAAATAATACTATAGATTTTTATAAGTAGATAAATGAAAATAAAGCTGAGTGTAATTTTTAAAAATTTAATTATAGAAAATATTGAAAAAAAAAAATTAAAAAAGATTCCTCAGAAACTTATGGCACGTATTCATGTATTTAAGAAATCCTTTTTATATAATAATGAAAGTAATTTAGATAAAAACCTATTAAAAACTTTCTAAAATAATTCAATTAATTAAGACAATATTGATTTAACATAAAGATGTGAATTTAAATTAAACAAAAAACAAATAATTGTTGATTCTGTAGCTGTTGAAAGTGGTCAATTTTTCAAATTAGAAAAGGGTTATTTACTGTATTTTGGTTATTCTTTAATTAATATAGTAATAAATAAAGGTGTAATTATAGCAAGTATCTAAATGAATTTATATGAGAATCAATAGTTTAGTTAATTACATTTATATGGTAAGTCTTATAATGGCGTAGGATTATTGGCAATAATATAGAAATAAAAAATTCGATATATGCATCATGAGGAAGGTGCAATTAGTTAAATTAAATTCTATCCATAATCTATAACAACAATTGGAACTATTAATGCAAATGGTAGTTTTACCTATCTTTCTTTGTTAAATACATTCTCAGATGAATTGAAAATAATATGTAAGATTGAAATTCCTGATTAAATTTTGAATTGTTTTGATTGGTGTCCCAGTATTGAATCTAAAATATCTATTGGAGATCAAGAGGGAAACATTTATATCATTGAAATATAGGGTGAAAATTATAAAATCATAAATTTTCTTGAATCATACCACATGGGAATAATAAAAGATCTTTAGTATTATATTCATAATGATAACAACTCTCCTTTATTATTAAGTGGTGGGTATGATGGGAATATTAAAATAATTAATCCTTCTAACTCTCAAGAGATATTTAACAGACATATTACATCTAAGGGAATCTCATAAGTAAAATGGGATAATGGTGGTAAATTTATATTATGTATCAACGATGATCCAAATTAAAAAGCTCTCATGTTCTGTTTCTTTTCTACAATTAAGAAAAATTCCATTCAAGTATTATAAAATGTTGAAAAAAGACTAATTTAACCATTAACTGGTGATGATGAGACTCAAGTAAATTTATTTTATATGTAGACTTGTGCATTTAATCCTTACCATCATAAAATATACTTTGCCTCATAAAATGGTACAATTTATGGAGCTGATATAGAATAAATTAGAAAGTAAGCCATAAAAAAAGAGAAAAAATAAACTTATCAATCTACAATAGTTCATTTTGGTTAAGTTCTTTTAGAAAATAACACAATTTCATATATTACTTAAAAAAATTCAGTAAATTATAAATAAACAATCTAAGTATATTTTACATACATTTTAGTAATATGATTGGAGTTAAGGTTATCATTTTATAGATATAGATGAATAAGGAAATTTAATCTTAGGAAACATTCTTGGAGTATTAATTATGTTATGATGCTATTTTAATTGAATATTTAAACACAAATACTAAATTAAAAATTATAAATAAACTTACAAATAGTTGGTTTTAATTAATATATATTTATTTTTGAACTTAAATAGTCAAAGTATCAAAAAAAAAGTAATCTAAATATGAATAATTTGTATTCTTATATAAAGGATTATGGTGTAGTGGGTAACACGTGAATAGTCCAAATTTTGATATAATTTAATAATGTATATGATTAATTTTGAAGATACATAAAAGATTTATTTCATCATTTTTCTGTAAGCTCTCTAAAACCCTTCCAATCTTTTGGAGCTTTTCCTCCACTAGTACTAATAACTTCTAAAAGGGTATTTGATGGTCCATCCTTATGTTCTGGAATCATAGTCTAAAAAATAAATTAAAATTTAATACTAATGTTTTTGAGAATATGGATTATGCATCTCCCCAATTTCCTTTAATGTATTAATCAAATCCTTATTTCCAAGTTTCATAAAATTACTATAATAAATAATAATAAATTACTTAAGTATATGGTTCTCTAGCAGCTGCCAATTCATCATCTTTTTCAAAAAGATCTGTAATATTAGTCTAATTATTCATAACTTATTTCATTTATTGATCTCTTTTAAATCTATTTAAAACTCTAAATTTTTTTGATTCTTTCTAAGTCATTGTAGATATATCAAATTTATCTCTAAGAGTTTTAATTTTAGCTTATAAATTTTTGATTGACATATCTACAGTATGGAGTTCTTAAAATATAATAAATTAATACCTAAAGGAACAATACTTCCTTTAACAGTAACTATATCAATCATTCTCATTTATTTTTAACATTCATCAGTCAAATACTATTTTAAAATACCACTAACAAGAATAAGTGCTCCAAATTGTTTTGTTGCTGCTTCTAATCTTGATGCCATATTAACATTAGGACTAAGATATGAAGCATCTATTTTAAATCCAGAACCTATAGCTCCTTCTATTCCCCAACCCATATGTAAACCAAAACCCATCTTTACAGAATAATCTTTCATTCTAGCATTTAAACCTTCATGTTTCTTATATTTTTCAAGCTTTTTAGAAATAGAAATTGCAGTTATAATTTTTAGAAATGCCATTACTGCCATATCTCCTTTTTATTTTATGTATCTTTCATTTTTCAATTTTAAATTTTTAGGATTATCAGGATCTGGATGATAATCATTAGGAGAGTATTTCCAAACTAAAAGAAAAGCATCACCTATATTTTTATTTGCTGATCCACTCATAGAATCAACAGTTGAATGTACAATTTCAGCTATCTCATTAACAAAGACCATCACTCCTTATTATAATACTTCAGTAGCCTATTTATTTTAACATATATATATGTACATCAGTAAAATTTCTAATATCACAAAATCCAAATATTGCCAATATTTTCTTTCCTGGAATCATAGGATCTACACTACCTCCCTTTTTTATATTTTCAGCTATAATCTCAGAACCTGCTTCTCCAAATCCTACTGCTAATAATGCACCTACTTTCATTATTAATCTTTATAAAACATATGTCTCCATCTGTTTTTCCAATTCTTTCTATTTTATTTTTTCCACATTTTAACATTTTTCTAACTCCTCCATAATTAAATCTTCCTATTCTTCAATATTTACTGCTTCAAGTGGATTTGCAGCTATCATTTCTATCTTCTACATCATTCCTTCTATAGGATCAATAACTAAATCTGATACATCTTTATTAAACATTAAAGCTGAAACTGCTAAAACTATGCATACAAATATTGTTTAAAATATTGATAATATTGCATTTGTTTGATTATAGACAACTAAATCAGCTGTGGCATAAGATTATAAATTTGATCCATCTGATTTTACATAATATTATAAATCTGAAAATCTATACTATTCCTTTGTTTCATAAGAAGGAACCTCAAAAATATCTGGATTCGTCTAATAATTCCATTCATCTAGATTTGTATTACCATCTCCTTTTAAATTAACATCAACACTATAAATTGGATAGAGTTCACCAATATGAAATTAAGCATATTAATATAATAGAGATTTCATTATATCAGGTTTATCTTTAAATTAATAAATTCTATAAATTCCTGAATCATAGCTACTAATTGTCTCTTAATAAGTATCTAAGGAAAGAATAGGAATACTTATTAAAATAGCTAAAATTATTGTAATAACTCTTCTCATTACTAAATCTGATAATTATGCTCCAACTATTGATTCTTTTATTTAATTTTCTGCTTAAGATGATTATTAAGATGTTTTTAATTGAGAACTTTAGCTTCTATCAGGTGTCTTAGCAGCTTCCATTTCATTTTATGAATTTCTTGATTCATCATTTTATGGTATAATTTAATTTATAGATAAATTTTATTATTATTATTGTTATTATTATTATTATTATTATTATTATTATTATTGTTATTATTATTATTATTATTATTGTTATTATAATTTCTATTATTATTGTTATTATTATTAATCTGAACTTTTACTTTATTATGCTTATCTTAACAATTCTTAAAGTAATTTTTTTTACTATTCTCTTTCCATTTACTATCGTGCATGTTTATATAGTTTGACTAATCTTACAAGTCTGATAACTCTAATAACTCTTGCTGCTTTTCTTGCAGCTCTAGATGCTGTTCCAATTGATTTAATTTAAGCTGCACTTGTTAAATCTCCAGAATACCATGTATCTGTTATCCAACCTAAATCTAATATCATTGTTATTGTTGAAATAACATCTAATATAAAATAAAACTAAATTATTGATTTAATTTACATTGAATATATATTCTGGTTTTGCAAGACTAGTAAGTGTAATTTCTACTATAAATGCAACCATGCATATCACAGTTAGAACAAAGAATACATCATCTCCTTACTTATCTACTGATAGTATTCTAATATCATCACCAAATAAAGCATATATAGTAACAATTGCCATAATTATTGAAAATATTGTGCTTTCTGTGATCTTCAATATAGTTTTAGATAAATCTGATTATTGTTTTAATTGAGAATGCCGAATCTTAACCCTACTGTTCATTCTTTTTATGCGTTTCTATTGTGATTCTAATATAATAAATCGCATAAATACATTATTGAGAAGGTTTCGTTCCTCCTTGACTCTTAATTGAAATATCCTCTTAACTATTATGAACAGACCCTAGCATATTTTTAGACTATTTTTTTATTTCTTCAGGAGCTGGACCAGGCTTCTTAATTAAAGGTTAAGCATGTTATTTATCAGTTAACTAAATAAATCATAATATTTACTAAAGGTGCTTAATTTTGACCATTATTTTCTGTAGGAGGTTTTATAGATCTATCAGATGGTAACTGTAGCTATAATATATAAATATTATACTGGATGAGGTTCAGATACCATTTAATTAAAATTTTTTACAACCTAAGCTGGTACAAATACTTCTCCTAATCCTTATTCATCTTAACCTTGCCTTTCTTGGTCATTTTATGAGTTCATAATTTAATAAAAATAATTATAGTTTCATAATATGTCATATACTCACCCTTATTTACTCAGCACAATAGAACTGAAACAAAGAAATAAATATATGCTAATTTTTTTATATTTGATCATTTGTCAATTAATTCTAAAGTGGTTTTTAGAATTGATTATCTTTAATAAAATATATATTAATTCTTTGAATCATAAAGAGAAATGTGGCTATATTTTATAATGTATCAAATTAAATCTCAATATTCAATAACATCCATTTTGGCATTCTTAATTTTTTAGAATTAAAAATATTTCTTTTCTAAATAAAAAAATTAAGAATTAGATCATCAAATCAATCTCAGTCTAAAAATAAACCATAAATATTAAATTAATAAACTTTATTTATGCAATTCATAAATAACCAAATTTATCAAAATTTACTAAAGTTACGTGAAATTTAACTTTTACATATCCTACAGATTTTACTCTAGTTACTTCTCTTCCTTCACCTGAAGAAATTACTTTATCAAAATTTTTAAGTTCAGCTGTGTTTCCCAATAAATAACCTAAAAATCCAGTGAATCCTGAAATTGGTAAAGGCTTGAATATTCGAATTACTCTTTCATGACTAAAATGATTATTCATAAATAATACTATCCTGGTTAAGTTGGAACATGAACTGATCCATATCCTTTTGCTACACTTCTTCCCATAAAATCTGGACCTGATAATCTTACTACTACTTATGGCCAACCAAAAATGTTTTTAGTTTGAAAATTACATTCAAAAGGAAAATTCCAAACAATATTTCTGGAATGTAAATTTCTTGATGTGCTTAATTAAGATATTCCACTAGGCTCTGCATCATCTGCATTATTCTAAATTAATTTTATGCTATACACTAGTTTTCAAATATGTCCAATCATCTCCTCCATATTTTACTGCATATTCTATTCTTAATGATTCTTCATCTTCACACTTAATTATATTAATATTTATTTACTTCACCACACTCAAGAACTCCACTAAAATTCAAAAACATTGAATCAGGTTATATATTTCTTGGATCCATCATCTCTTCTTAAATTCTAGAAACTCCATCTTAAAATTATTGAGGTTATGTATATCCAAAATTCTAATTTGTTTACCCTTTTACTGATCCTTAATCTGATACATCTTTTCTAAAATTTCTTGTATTCATCATTTTCAATTTAAAAAAAAAATTATATTAAAAAACCTTTATTAAAATAATGTAAAATAAAATAAAATAATCTCTCTTCTATTTCAATTAACCTAGCCTACAAGTTATCATTCTAAATAATAAACAAGTTATCATTCTAAATAATGAACTTCTTTTTTTATTTATTTGAAATCAACTACTTGATTTTTTTATACTCTTTTTAACATTCCTTTTCAAAGATCACACAAGCAGAAGTACTCCATTTTAGATGAATATTAGTATAATATAATTATATTAAACTATAAAATTATTATTTTTATGATAAAAATCAAAAAATAGCAAAGAGAATTTTAATTGTACTAATGATGTGAGATATTTCAAAAAGAATAATTAAATGGCTTTATCTATCAAGAAAATTAAATAACGTATGAGTATAAAATAAAGTATATCGCTAATTGTCTTTATGTTAGTGTAATAAATAAATTTTCAATGTCGAAAAATTTATAATTAATATTTAATTTAAGTAAAATGAAATAAATTTCTGAAAGTGCTCACATTTTGTAGAAGGTTTATAATCCAAAAAAAATGAATAAGTTATTTATGACTACTCATTATTAACTTTAGAATGAGACTGATTTAATTTTTAATAAGTTTATGGTGATGCCACTATTCGGATTATCAGTGGCAAATGGAGTTTCACCTCTAAGCATTAAACAGAAATATTTATGCAGTGAATATAAAAAATAAGAATTATACGATTGCAATCTTATGTTAATTATGTCAGCATATTCTGATTTAGCTGTATATAGATCCAAAACTATGTATTTAAAAAGGAATGGATTAGAATAAATTTTTAAATATTTAGCTCTTCCAAATCATACATATAACATACATATCAGTTTATTAAGTTATTTTGTTCCTTAAAGGTATTTTTTTGAAATTATTGAGAGTATTTTATAAACAAGTATTGTAAGCTTTAAAGAATTTTGAATTATTGGATTAAAAACATCTTGAAGAATTAACTCAAAGTTCATCTAACATAAATTAGTTTGTTAGTGATAACAATCTTGACTCAATTTTATTTAAAAATTAAGAATTTATAGATTATCAGAAATGGAAAAAATTATTGAAAAATAATGCAATAATAAATTTATAAACCCTTCATTAACATAATTTATCTTAATAATTATTTGCATAATATTTTCTAAAATACCATCATTATGAAGGATATGAAAATGATATAAAAAAATTAAATAAATATTTGATTGAGGATTTTGATATGTTTAAGGTAATTAGTATATAATTAGAGTTTAGTTTAGATTTAGATTAGAACATAATGAAAAAAAAATGAAATTTTATTTTCTTAGAATGTTAGTTTATTTTGAATTAAATGAGAGATTATAAAAATTTTTGAAGTTTACATTCAAATCATATTAGCTTGATTGGAATAAAGAACTTATACGAGAAATGAAGAATAGTATAGATAAAAATAAAAGATAGTGATTGAAATATTCATTTATTATATATATATATACATAGATTTATAATTTGAGTGAAAAAGAAACATAAATTAAAGATAATACAAAATAATCAAAAAATGGATTAGTTCAATGATACAATTAATGTTTAAAAGAGAAAGCTTCAATATTTTTAAAGTGTAAATTTGCATCGTCCTCAGCTAATAAATCTAAATCATTGAAGGATTCAAATTCTTATTCTACTTATTCGATAGTTTTCATTCTTTCATGAAAATGTTTGCTAGTTTCTTTGCAAAAAGCTTATTATTATTTTTATACTACAGTTTGACTTTTTCTTTAATTTCTAGGTAATTATTATTGCATGAATCTTCTATATTTATCAACTTCAACAATATTTTTTTAACTAGCTTAATAATTAATCAACTTGGAGGTTCCTTATGTATTTATACTAACTCCCTAAATAAAATATATAATATAAATATTACATTTCGACTTCTATTTTCAAAATTTTCTGGTTCAGGAATGATTAAATAAGTAGAAGGTTATTTTTTTGGATTATCAACAACAGCTGAAGATCTTTTGATTGTACTTCTAACGATAGGAGGATTAATTAATTTATTTTAAAGAGTCTATTTTTTATTTTTAACTTCTGCTAATTTTTCCCAATCAAACATGTAAAATGATTCTTCACATTCTTTTTCATTGATAATTTTTCTAAATTAATCTTTAAGAAAAGCATAATTTGGAGATTCTGAAAATTCTCTCGATTTTGCATGTTGTAACAATAATAGATAACACTAAATTAAATTTCACTTTACCTAAGGAAGTCCTTCTGTCAATTCTTCTAATTTAACATTTTTCTTCATTTCTAGTATAGTTGAATATTTTTCATGTTTATCTGCAATTTAAAGATTCATCCATGGAAGTTTTCCCATATTTAAATAGATTAACACATAAGCTAAACTCTCTAAATCATCTTTTCTAGATTACTCTAATCCTTAGTGAGCTGCAATACTTGCATATCTAGCAGTTCCAATGATTCCTTTTTTATCAGAAAGTATTATATGTTATCCATTACTATCCTTAAAATATTTAGCTAACCCAAAATCTATTAAATAAACAATATGTGTGTCTATATATCCAATTACCATATTTTCTGGTTTTAAATCTCTATGAATAATATTCTTATTATGCAAAGATTCCAATCTTTCAATTAATTGAAGAGATAATTTAAGACAAGATAATTATGAAAATCCTTTGCTTCTTCTTAGTAAGTATTCTAAATTGTGACCTAAATAAGTAATCATGCAATAATTATAATTTTCATCTCTTCCATAATATTGAATCTATGGGAATCCTTTATACAATAATTATTTTTTATACCTTCCACCCCACTTAATTCTAATAATACTTTGATCTCTCTAACTAACATACTTGTTGAACCATTACTTCGATTCTCTCTTTTCTCAAATTTTGTTGCTACTATCTCTTTAGTTTCAATATTCTCTGTTTTAAAAATATATCCAAAGCTACCTTATCCTACCTTTTCCAATAATATAAACTTATCAGCAATTGTAGTTCCTGTATGAAGATGAGGAATATTTGTTTATAATTGAGTTTGATGTTTTTTAGTATTTCGATTCATAATATATACAATTATTATATAATAATTTATTTCTTGCAAAAATAATAAATTATTATTATGTAATTTAATGTCTCTCTACTAATAATAAAAAAAATTAATACTTCTTTTGATTCTTCATATTAAAGAAATTCAGTAGAAATTAATGATTTTCAAAAATCAATATCCATTCTGATATAAAGGATATTATAAATGAATTCTAATTTTACTTTATAAATATATTATTCGATATATCATATTGCATTAAAAATGTCAAATCAAACTTAAAAGATTTTATCTGTAATTAAATTAAATGTGTTAAAATAGTTATGTGTTTGCAAATACAAAAGAAGAAATCGTATAAAAGAGAGTAAAATCTCTAAAATTTTAACTAAAGGCTCTAGAGTAAAAGAATAGTGTTTTACAATAAAAAATAAAGAGCGTTAATAGAATCAACTTAGACCATTCTAAATCACCAGTTTCTTAATTATAAGAAAATTTACATTTTGATAGAAAGTAAGTAATTGAACTTTTCAAACCAATAATTGCAAAGGAAGCAATCTATATCAGAAATGAGAGATACAAAACAGAACATTTGATGATATAATCAAAAATGAAAGAGATTTAACAGAAAAAAATAAAGGTTCGATAAATTGAATAATTCGATGCTGACGCAATCAGAAGAGTGGCAGAGTTTAAAGAGAAAAAAGTTATTGAAATACGATAAAGAAATGTTAAGGAAATCGAAATAAATAGGTTATCTGTTTAGAAGAAGCTTGAAAATGTTTAAGTGTTAGAGAATGAAGAGAAGGAATTAATGAATATGATCTAACTGTATTATTTATTCATAAACATAGAGCCAAAATAAATAGCACATAATTATAAACGAGATATAATAGAGCAATTACTTCATCAGATGAAAGTTCGGTACTTCCTCATATCAGAAAATTCAGTTATAATTAGAGATTTGAGTCACCATTTAAGAATCGAACACCAAATCATTTTTCAGATAATTATTTAGATAATTGTTATTCCAACAATAAAAAGCAATCTCAATTCTTTCCTAGTCGTAAAAAATCAAAATCCACTAATAAATTAATTGGCAACAACATTAATGAGTTTAATGATACACCTTAGTGGACTATTGAATTTAAATAGTATTGCAATATGAGCAATAAGGAAAATTTAGACATTAAGGGTGATTCTTAAGGATCCTCAACATAATAATGAGTTATTGGTGTCTTTATTTGTATATAAATTCAATGTTTTTGAAATATATATATATTTATATGATAAATTGCTTAAAAAAATTAGAAAAAAACATTTTAATAATAAATTCAGATCAGGTATGTGGATGGAAAGCTAATTTTATATCTCTGTCTTTTTTTAATTAGAGAGAGTCTTTCAATTACTTTTTAATGGTTGTAAAAGCATCCATATTATGTATGATAACTTTAAACAATAATGATATTTAAATGAATCCTTTCTGTGTATGACAAACTATGCTATTGATAAATTCATGATAATCATAATCAGCACCAATAAATGAAAGTACCAATTTATTAAGAATTTAATTTCCAAGACTTTTTCAAACTTTGAAAATGAATCCCCCTCCAAATTTATTTTGGATATCTTTTCAAATTGGTGTTATATTCTTTTTAAATAAATATATTTAATTGTCTTTTGATTATTATTCTGGTGTCAACTTGTTAAAAATAAGCACAAAAATCTTTTTCAGTTGAAAATGATCCTTTATTTTCATATTGCAAATACACCAATTACTTCTTGAAAATATTGACCTTATTTAAAAGTTCCTAATCAAAATGTAAAATCTCAAGTAAATTACAGCATAATTTAAATAAATGCTTAAAATTATATATTTTAATCATGACTGTTGTTCCAAAATTCGATAATAATTTCTAAACAAATTAATATAGAATAGTTAATTTTTGAATGTTGAAAAGAATAAATTATGTTTTTTGAATTATATATGTTGTAGTTTATAAATATTAATTGAAAATTAGAATTATATTATGTTTTTTAATTAAGTCTTAAAAAATTGAGTATCATTTCAAATTTTAATTGCAGTACTTATCAATCAATCAATTTTTAATACAATAAAAAAAAATGATATATTTATTAGTTACGATACTAAGCTTTCTAGTATTGCTAACACAATAAGTGATTGAAGAGATTGAATTAAATAGTTAAGCTATCTTTAAGAATTGTATATAATCAGAGAATGGTAATTGTAAATTATGTAAAACATCTACATTTTTGTTTAAATTACCTTAAGATAATGTTGAATTGAGTTTGAAAGCAGGTACATAAATTTGTGTAGAATGGTAAATATGATATTAATATTGAACAGTCCATATAATGGTTTTCATGATAAGAGTAATTTATATTGTGGTGATTGTCTTGATAATAGTTAGACTTGGGATTAAGATCGAATATGCAGTTATGATTATAAGACAAAATCAATAGAAGAAGATTCAGTATTCCATAAGGTGAATAGAGATGGAAAATAGTTATTTTATGTTATTGAATCAGGTTCAAAAGATGTATTTAATATATAAGTACTTTAAGTACACAACGACAATGTGTGAAGGTTGTTAAAAGTTTTGTAAATCAAAGAGTTAAGTATGTTTCCAAGTGTCATTATAATATTAGTATGAGATAAATAACCTTTATATCGAATGTATGGAAGGTATTTAAAATATATAAAATAAAGGTTTTGCATATAATGAAGTTAATGGTGGATGTGATTCTTGTCCTGAGAATTGTTAATCTTGTGAAATAAATAATTTAAGATAGGTAGATAGTGATGGTAGAGTCGTAATAAATACAAAAAAGGATTGTTTAATTTGTAATAAAGGATTTAGTTTATTGACTACAAGATAAGAAAAAAATAGTGTTAATACTTAAAGTTAATGTATTCCATGCTTTTCTGGCTGTCGTGAATGTTTCTTTGGAAATAATGATGTAGATTTAAATACTGAGCCATGGGATACTTATAATAATTTTGATGAATTAATTTTATAACCAAATAGTTAACCTAGTAACGAAGCTTATATTAAATTGGGAATACTTGGTATATTTTAGAGATGTACTGAATGTATCAGTACAACTTAAAGCACATATATACCATCATTAGATAAAAAGACTTGTATTAGATGTGGAACATCTTGTAAAACTTGTGAATATGTTTCATATACATTAAGCATTGATAAATAGTAATTTAATTAATAATAATATTATTTATAGTCCTACTAGGAATAAGAATACTGTTATTGATATTACAGATACAACTGAATCCGAGTATATTTTGAGATGTAGAGAATGTGATGTTTATCAATAAACATTTTTAGCAACCGGTAATGGGTGTGCTGATTGTACGATTTAATATTGTAAACTTTGTCATAAAATTGGTGATCCATCAGCTGGAGCAGATAGTTCTTTTTCTACTCTAAATCCTGATTTCCAACCTTTTGATAAAGAAGAGTTTACAAAAGAAGAATGTTTATTATGTTAAGATAACTTTTATCTGGATCAAACTGGATGTCATCCATATTTAGATTATATTTCAGATCCTAATGATTTGTAATCAAATATTCCAAATAAATGTTTAACATTTCAAATGGATTCCAATAATAAACCTTAATGTAGAAGTTGTGATGTTAAACAAACACTTTTTCAATCAGAAGATACAGGATTATGGTCATGTGAATAAACATGTTAAGAAAAACTATAAGATTATTTATGTTCATCTTGTTTGTATATTAATGAAACCTATAGATGCTTATATTGTTTAGATGGTTTTTATGTTGATATTCAGAGTGGTAGATGCAAACCTTGTTCAGAGAATAGTTTCTGTAAAGAATGCTATCGATTTTCACTTCTTAGTATTCATAGAACTGAGTATTATTTATATACTGAAGATGGTGAAGATTAAATCTATGGTCCTTATTGTTATACTTGTACTGCAGGAGACAATGATAGAGGTCCCATTTTAAATGATGATCTTAGATATTGTGAAAAAGGAGGATAAGCTTGTTAAATATTTTCTGCTAAAGGAAATCAAGGTTATTGTGATATCTGTAATTATTCTAAATTGTCTAGTTCAATAACTAGATCATCTTCGCTTGATCATTCTGATTGTATTGAATGTCCTTAATTTACTATTGGATGTCGTATTAGAACTAATGAAGAAATTAATCTGGTTAATAAGTTTTTCAATCCCACTAATCAAAAATATTAAGAATATTCAACATTAGCTTTTATTTGTTAATCAGAATCTTCTTATTATTTAGACACTAATCTAGGTAGATGTATTTTAAAAAAAAATGGAAATTAATTTTGTGTACGTTCTGATATCATTAATATTCAAGCTGATTGTACTCATTATGAAGATGATTTAGATAATGTTTTGAAAATTAATTCATAATTTAATGATATTACTTAAAAAAATACATTTATTAATTTAGAAGATAAAATAAACATCTCACAAAGAAATTAATTATATATTGATTACAATGAAAATGTTGTTAGTAAATTAATCATCAATCTTATATTTTAATATGATTCTGATTCTAAAAATAATAAATGCTTTTTTTAAAAAAATACCTACTTTACTACTAATTTTAGAAGAAATGTTTTTACTTTAAAAGAAATTGAACTTCGCATCTCAGTTGATAATGCTCCTAAAAATGAAAAAATTTAATGGTTTGTTTAAAACACTATTTATTTTGAATATTTTACTACTGTCAAATTAAGCTAAATAGAAATCTTACCAGCTACTGATTTAGATCCATTGAATATGTATACTAATATTCAAAAATACGATAAACCTTTTGGATTTGAATTTATTAAAAATGATGGTTCTAAATTAATCCTTGAAAATGTTAAAATTAGTAATGGATTAGCAGAAGATCATTATTAATCTTAATAGTATAGTACACCTCATAGTGAAATATCTCATAGTCTTAAAAAATTTAAACCTTTTTACACTATTCTACTCAATATATATGATATCTAATTCTATAATGTATAGGTGATGTCATAAAATTATCTATTAGGAAGTGATGCTACTTTCTAAACCAAAATTTTTGGTCTAATTTATGATGAAGATATTAAATTACCATATTTCACTATTGTTTTAGAAAATGTTAAATTTTATGATTTATCTCTTGAAAATTAAGCTATTTTTGAATTATAAGATATAAATTTGTCTACCTCACCAGAATGGAATTGTAAAATATATTTAAAAAATATTTACTTTAATGATGTTTATTTTATCAATGATGGTGCATTCTTAAGTACATTAATCACACAAAAACCTACTGGTATGATTTTAATAGAAAATCTAAATTTCAATAATATTGAATTCAATAATTCAAGAGGTATAGTAAACTTTTAAACTATGCAAAAAGTTTCAGTATCTGGTTTTGAAATGACCAATAGTAGAGTAAATTATACTACTCTATTCTACATCACAACTATTGATATTAGTTAAGTTTATGTATATAATACAACTTTTACATATTTTGGTAAAATATTTGAAACTTAATTTGATATTATGACAATTAAACCATATGATATTGAATTTTCAGGTCTAAAACTATAATTCACAGATTTGGAATTCACATAAATTAATTGTCTTTATCCTGCTTGTATAATGTTATTAACAGCAATAAAAAATGATTATGAATTGCCTCTTAATATTAGTATAAAAAATATTATAGTTAAATAAATCTAATCTGATGGATTTAATGAAACAATAGTAGAGGCTGCAACAAGCGCGGCTATATAAGTTTAAAGATCAAATAAATTATAAGTGCAGAATTTTAAAAGTATTGAGAACCCAAACTTAACAATTTTTTATACGGATTAAGTTTAGGAAATCATATTTATTGATTTAAAATGTTCTCAGAAAGAAGGAATGACAATACGTAATAATTATTGCGTATTTTTTAATAATTTCTATAGAATGATTAAATTAATAGATATTAATCTATTAAACTTGAATGGAATAGACAATTCATTTATAGGGATATCATCTTGGAGTAATCTAGTATACAATACTAGTAGTGAATAATTTCATGAACAGATTACAATTGAGAATGTTATAGTATAAAAATGCACAATAACAACAACAGTATTAGCAGTACCATCAAGTGCAATATTGATTGATTCTACATAAGAATAATCTTTATTAATAAAAAATCTTTACTTTTAAAATAATAGGCATTATTCTGCATCGTACTTAAAAGGTACTTTGAGACCCAGTAATCCTACATTTTTAATTAGAAGTGTTGTGGGATCCCTAATATTATAGAATTCATTTTGGAAGAATAATTATGTAAATGGATTTGGAGCTGTGTTATATTTAGAATGTGGAATATAGATTGTGAATAATATCACTATGATAAATAGTAATTACGATCCTACTTAATTAATTAATCAAGATCCATATACATATGATATAAATAAAATAGTAGAAGGTGGACATATATTTATGGCAGGCTATAACATATAATTATTGAATTCTTAATTTACAAATTCAACTGCTAAAGTTGGAGGTGCTGTCTACTTAAAAACATTGAAAGAAGGGTATGGATATGTGAATAACACTGTAATTACAAATGCTTATACATCATTAGATGTAGCAGTGGTTTCTAGAGGCGGTTGCATTTATATTGATTCAACATATTCATAGTTAAATTTATTAATGGAATATATGGAACTAAGTAATTGTATAGCTAGAGCAGATGGAGGAGGAATCTATTTGATAACTTCAGACCGTCAATAATTATTCACTATTAAAAATTCATTTATTTCTAATTGTTATGGTTTAAGTGGTACATCAATTAAAATTAAATTTGATGATCGAACTTAATAAATACAGAAAACAAGATTATAGGATGTAAAAATATCTGGTAATTACACAAATGCTCTCAATTTCTTTAGCAATCTGAGTAATTTTTAAATTATAGAAGAGTTTTTATTATTAAAGCGATTAGCTGCTTTTGAATAAAATAATGGTTAATTTGATATTGAGAATATTTATAGCGAAGGATTATTTTTTTATGGTTTGATATCATTAATAAATCCAAATTTAGTTAAAATTAATATGATAGAATCGTAACATGGTATATTATCATACAGACCCTATATTGAGATAATAGAACCATTGATGAATCCAATAGAAATTGATTCAGTTTAATTCCGTAACATTTCCTCAATGAATGTAAGTGTGAGTTGTACACAAACAACACTTACAAACGAATAGAATGCTTATTGTAAGATCTTATTATCTCGAGTTGACTTTCCTGAATATATTATTAATCCTGCAATGATGTTAATAGATTAGATTACTTAACACACACCACTATTACTAAAAAACATATTTGTTAATAGAGTTAAATGTTAAGAGTGTTATGGTGGATTAATTTAAGTGATGAGAATATCGAATAGTGTATTAAGATAATTAGTTTAATTGACTGCCTGTCGATGTTCTAACTCTTAGGCTGGATATTATGGATGCTATATGTTATCATCAGCATAATACTAAAAGATATTAAAAGATGAAGACAACAGAATCAAAATTCAATTTATGTCATCACTCACTTTAGAAAATATTCAAAAATACACTGGCTTAAAGAGTAGAAGAAGGAGATTACTTTAAGAATAAGCTTAAGCTGCAGACTTTAATTATGTAGTGCCATTTCCTACCTATCTTGCTCATGTAGTGATTGATTCAATGAATATTTAAGATATTAAAGCAGTTCATGGAGGAGGTCTATCAATTTATGGATTGACAGTCAATATCACAAATACTTTTTGTACATAATCAGAAGTAAGTGGATAAGGAGGTTGTATTTATTATGAAGCTATTCCTAAAGATGGTAGAGTTGTTTATCAAAGAATTAGCATAGCTACAAGTGTATTTTTCAAGAATAATGCTAGTATTGGTGGTGCTATAAGAGTGAAAGAGAGTGGAATCAATTAGTGGAACAAAACAGGTAATACTATACTATAAAATTATGCTACCTTATATGGAGATGATGTTGCAGGATATCCTACACATTTAGGAATACTTATTGATGGAAAATTGTAACAATCAAGTAATCTTAATAATAATACTGGTTGGCTTCATTATCCTTTAGTCATCAAAAGTGGTTAATTAATGTCAGACTTTTAAAATCAAACTGTTTTATTAGTTTATCTAAATTAAAATGAAGAAATCATTAAATATTAGTTTGATGCTTAATCCTACTTGAGTTCAAATTTTACTAATTCCATCTAGGGAGAATCTCTAAGAGTATTTAATCTAGATCTGTAAGGATTTGATTACTCAAATTTATAAATTCTATTCGACCCTTATCAAAATATTACTCTAGATGTAACTTTGAATAGTTCTCTTGTTAATATTCCACATTATCATTCTGAATATCCATATTAGTTAATAGGATTTGATACTGGATATACACTTTAAGCCAGAGTTCGATCAGTTGAATGTGATCGAGGAGAAGCATATAATCCTTAACAAGGTTCTTGCAATCCTTGTCCTATTGGTTAATATGTCTTAGTCTATAAAGGAATTTGTAAATAAATAAATGAAGAATCTATGAATTTTACTGTCAGAAATAAAATTAGTATGAAATTTTCTTATTGGAGACCTGATCATTTAAATGACAAAGCTGAAAAATGCAAAAATAAACCTATCAATTGCTTTGGAGGATATAATGTTGGAAATGATGTATGTATTGAAGGAACTATTGGAGCCTTGTGTGAAGAATGTGATATTCACGGTGCTTTTTGGGGTTCTAAATACAGTACATCTGCTAAATATGAATGTGGTACTTGTTAAGATAAGACCAGAAATCTTATCATGATTATTATCTTATCAATCTTTACCTTATTTACTACTATTTCTTCAGTTGACGCAAATAAAGAGAGAATAAGAAACTGGATTCTGTACAGTATTTTTGCTAAATTTGGTTGGGCATCATCATAATCTGCAAGTGGGAATGTAGCAGTGCTTATGTAAATCTTAAATAATCACACTCAGATTTTATCTATTTTGTAAGGATTTTAAATAGAAATTCCGAATCAGGCAGTAGATTCAGTAAATACTGTAAGCATGCCAGCTAAAACAGTAGGAAATGCTTTAGATTGTTTTTTAGAAGAAGACTCATGGAGCATTGATTTAATTTACTTTCGTATAATTTGGTCATTAATCATGTAAGCAATTTATATAATTGCTATTTTTATTTTGATGTTTATTAGAGATGGAAGAAAAGATGATTTCAAAGTTTTAAATAATTTATATACTATGATTATTTACTTGTTTCTTTTATTACAACCTAACTATATTATGGAGTTTATGACTTTGATTTCCAGTCGTTTAATATCTGGAAACTTGTATATAATGGCGAATGTCTCATATAGATACGATACTTTCAAACATGATTAATGGATAGCTGGTTTTGGTGTACCTGGTTTGCTTTTTTGGTTACTTATATTACCTATTGCATTTTGGTATCCTTGCTATTTAGGAGCATAATAAATGAAATTGGATTCTATTATTTTTAGTCGTTCCTGGAGTTTCTTCTATCAAGAATACAGGAGAGATAGATATTACTGGGAATTTATTAAAATATTCTATCGTTCTCTTATTAGTGTATTAATTTGTTACTTCTAAGAGGAAATAATTGTTAAAGTATTTATTCTTGATTATTATTTTAGGGAATACTTTCTTTTTTTGTAGTTTATGCATATTATGGATTGAGTATTCATTTTAATCCTTATAATCTAAAAGCATAAAATTATTTAGATCAACTCTCTACCGTCATCCTTTCACTCTCTTTAGTAATAGGAGTATTCCTTTATAGAACAATAGATATCGATTTCTTTGGTTTAACTTATGCAGGATATATAGTGATTGCTTTGTTAAATGCAATATTCCTATTGCTTTTCTTCTTATATGTATTTGAGGACAAAATAAAAGAATTATCGCCAAAGATAGATGAAATCAGAGATAAAATCAATCTAAGATATCCACATCTTTAACATAATCCTCGTCTTAGACCTTTTCTTATTAATCATACTAAATTAAATCATAAGGCTAGAATGTTATGGACTCAATTAAGTAAAGTTGTCAACTAAAGTATAAATAAGTGGAGATAAGATAAATCTAAACCACTTATTTTTTAAAGATAGTAAAATATTAATTTTTATTATAAGTGTTGAGACTCCTGCTAGTGAATACAACAATAAGATCAATAAAATTCATTAAGAATTTGATTCTTCATATGAAGGATTAAATTTAATTTAACCAAAAGAACTTGTTTAAAATTCTGAAGAGAAATTTGAAGATTTAGTTAAAGATAATAATTGAGACTTTTTATTTATAAATTTTTTTATAAATTAAATAAATATAGAATGGAAAAGTTCCTTCTCCAAACAAAGTGTGTTTTCCTAAAGAGTTTCTATTAGAATCTAAGGGTAAATAAATTCATTCCAAATTTATTGGTACCATTTTTATGTGGTTTAATATTTTGGTTATCTTACTTTGATTCACTTAAGTTTCTAATGTATTCATAAACTTTGTAATTAATATTGTACTTATTTTAAGTTACATGCCATTAGCCATTTGCGGAGTAATTAGAAATTATTTAATGATGATAGTAAATGAAAAGAAAGAAAGGTAAAAAGAAAACTAATTAATAATGGGATTGAAATTAAGTTCATATTACATAGGATGGATAATATCATGTATAATGTGGACTAGTATTTGTGCATCTCTCTACATAGTAATGATATCAAGTTTTGTCGCTTTGAATTTGCACTACTTTGCATTTTATCAATACATAATCTTTTATATTTAATACATGTGTTATTCATATGCAATAGTTGGATAAATGTTGATGTTAAGTAGTTTCTTTTCAGATGGACGAAAGGCTACTGATGTATATGCTGTAGTATATATGATAATTGTTTATCTCTATTATTTTAAAGATTGGTAAAAACAAAATGAATACACGGAATTGCTATTATCAATTTTCCCATAAAATTTGATAGTTTATTTTTGGTATCAAAAAATAACATAAGCTCAAATATCAATTAGCTATATACATACTTTAATTGTTTTTTGTATTCAAGGAACAATAGGAATACTTTTCTATGTCTATTTAGATCAAATAATACCTGATGCTATTGGAATTCATAAGTCTCCTTTTTTTATATTTTAATGTTTATTTCGCAAAAAGAAAAGTTAAGTGGAAATATTTGAATAAGATTTAGAATTATAATAATAGAATAGTTTAGGATCTGGGTTACTAAATCCTTAATATTAAATATAGTCAATTGAAGCAAATGAAAATTAGGTTATTAAATTAAATTAGTTAACGAAGGTATATAATGGATAATCAGTAGTAAATAAACTTAATCTTAATTTGAATAAGAATACTATCTTTAGTCTTTTAGGTCATAATGGAGCAGGTAAATCAACAACAGTTAATATGATATGTGGATTAATTTAGAAAACTACTGGTTAGATACTTATAAATGAATTCGACATAGATAAAAATTTGGATGAAATCAGATAGATATTAGGATATTGTTCATAAAAAGATGTGTTATATTCAGAAATGACAGTTTATGATCATCTTTAATTTTATGGTCGATTGAAATTAGTAAATTAATTACAATTATCTGGATAAATTGAGTATGTTATATAAATATGTCACCTTTAATAAGAGAAACATTAACTTGCATAATATTTAAGTGGAGGAGGTAAGAGAAAACTATGTTTAGCTATTGCTTTGATGGGAAATTCTCAAGTTTTACTTTTAGATGAACCTACTACAGGTTTGGATCCAATTAGTAGATAATAAATATGGAATATACTGAGAGAGATCAAATAAGATAGATGTATAATTTTAACTACCCATTATTTGGATGAAGCATAAGAATTATCTGATTATGTTGGTATTATTTAATAGGGCAAATTAACTGTTTTTGGAACTGTGGATTATATAAAAAGATAATTCTCGGTAGGTTATAATATTGTAATTGAATGTCAAAATGAATTACATTAAAAATAAATTTAAGATTAAATTTAAGCTACTTTAAATTTGATTTGTAAAAATGAAATTTCCTTCATTCCTTAAAATAGAAATCTTAAATTAAATATTCCTCTAAGTAATAGCAAAAATGTTGCCTCTGTTTTAGAATATTTAGAGACTGTTTAGAATATAAATATGTCATTTGAAATGACTACACTTGAAGATGCTTACATTAAAATTCATACTTAATCTGATTGGGGTAACAATCAAATTGATACAAACAATAATGTTTTATTTAATAATATGTTCTTTAATTTTACACCTCATTTTAGCTTTATAAAATAAGTATAAGGCTTATTTATGAGAAGAATTTGGATATCTGAATAAAATAAATGGTAATATTTAATGTTTTTAATTGCTTGGATTTTATTGTTAGGAGTATTTTTTGGCTTTGAAAACATTGATCAATATATCATACTTACGTTGTATGTTCTGATCAAGTTAATATTCATCAGTCAGCAATCCTACTATCCTATATATGAAAAATAGCATAAAATCAAAGATTCATATTTAACACATGGGGCTAAGATAATATCATATTGGACATCAATATTTCTATTCGATTTAGTTGTGATAGTCTTTGAATAATTTATTTTTATGATGTTCTTTCTCATAGCCAAATAAATTGGTGGAAATAGATAGGATCGAGATTACAATATACTTACTTATATCAGTATAGTATTTGTAAATACAATATTCTCACTTGCTCTTAATTGTTAAACTTATGTAGCAACTTATTTCTTTCAAAATACTAATTCTTCAAATGTATAATTACCATTTCTTATACTCATATTCTAATTTCTTGGAATGGTGGTATTTGAATTCTTATTTTAAAAATATAGTTTTACTGGAATTATTGTTCCACTTATATAACTTTTATAAGGATATACATAGATTCTATCTGAATATTATCTTAAAACCTTATTTGAAACTTAGATAAATTCATTTATTTCTATTTTAGTGTTTTTCTTTATTATTAATTTTTTAGAATACCGTCAAATCTAAAGAAAATCAAGCAATCAAAATATTTAAGGGAATCTTGATGTAAATTAAGTTACTTATAAAATTGGAAATAGAACTATCTTAGATAATATTGATTTTTCAATAGAACCTCACGAAATATTTGGACTTCTTGGACCGTAATTATTTTTATAATATTTAATATTTTTAGTAATGGAGCAGGCAAGACAAGTACATTTAAAATGATTACAAGAGAATGTATACCAGAATTAGGGTTTGTGGAAATTAAAAATGAATCTACTTAAGTTGGATTGGTTCCTTCCTTTTCACCTTTACATGAAGATTTATCTTTAGTTTAACATCTTAAAATCTATGGTTTACTTAAAGGATTAAATTCTGATTAAATTAATAAATTTATTGAAAGCTATTGTTCATATATGGATTTAAACAAAATAGAAAATAAAAAAGTTAAAGTTCTGAGTGGAGGAGAAAGAAGAAAAGTTTAAATGGGAATAGCTTTAATTGGAAATTCTTCAATATTGCTTATGGATGAACCAACAAGTGGAGTAGATCCAGTATTTCGTTAATAATTCTAATAATTAATATTGAAAAATTGTTCATAAAATTAAAGTTCCATTTTAATTACTACTCATTCAATGACAGAAGCATAAAGAATTTGTGAAACCTTAGGAATTATAATAAATGGTTAATTAAAGTTTAAAGGAACTTTAAATTAATTAAGATAACAATATGATAATAGAATATAATTAAGTTTCAATTTAAAAAATAAAGAAGACAAAGATTAATTAAGAGAATTAATTGTTTAGAATTTAACAAAAAATATATTTGAACCTTAAACATCAAGTGAAAATAATTTAACAGTTTTTGTTGATGATCATTCAATAAAATTGTCATAACTTTTTAGATTTTGTTTATTAAGGCAAGTTGATAATATAATTAATGATTTTGAGATATAATAAGCCACTTTGGATTAAATTTTTAAACATTATGTATCATAACAATAGATAAATGATTTCCCATAATAGATAGTAGAAGTTTAGGAGAGAAGAAATTTTCTAGGAATATGTTGTTGTTAAATCTGATAATTTATAAATACAAAATTTAAATAATCAATATTTATATAAATAATAAACAAATTATTAATAGAAATATGTAAGATGATGAAATTGAGGAAACTGTAATAGATGGATGGGTAATTGATACTTCTGTGCTTTTGGGTTAGGGAACATATGGAAAAGTCTTACGTTGCCATCATTAAGATGAACCAGATATTGTTCATTGTGTAAAAATAATTTCAAAGATGAATATTAATGTAAGAGAAAATAATTTGACAAAAACTATATAAAATGAAAAGAGTGTTGTTTCAAAGTTGGCTAATGTTAATTGTGAAAACTTAGTATAAATTATTCAGGTGATTGATAAACCAAAGCATGTTTATATAATAATGGAATTATGTGATCATGACCTAGAGAAAGAATTCGAAAATATTAAACCTAATTGGTTTTCTAGAAAAGAATAGTTAGATATGATTAAACAAATTATAAATGGAGCATGTGCTTTAAGAGATAATTAATTAATACACAGAGATATAAAACCTCAAAATATTCTTGTCAAAATTGTAAATCAAAATGGATAATAAAGAAAAATTTATAAAGTAAAAATACTCTAACTTAATTAAAGCTTGCGGATTTTGGTTTTTCAAGAACTTTAGACAATATGTATTAAAGTGCAAATCTAACTCTTGTAGGAACTTGGAAATACCTAGCACCAGAAATTTATTACAGACAATAATTCTCAGCTATGTGTGATATATATTCATATGGTCTACTGTTTCATTAAATTGCATTTAAAGGAAAGCTTCCTTTTAATGGAGATGATTAGGTTAAACATTATAAAAATATTGAAACTTCTAATTTTAAATGTTAATAACTATCTGGAGAATATGGAGATTTAATAACTAATCTTATTGAAAGAATGATTGTTTTTTCTCAAGAATAACGTATTAATTTTGAAGAACTTAAGTAGCACTAAATATCAACACTTTAAATTAATATACCATAAGAATCTCTATTCATACCTTTTAATCTAAGATACAATAAAGAAGAAATTGAAAATTAATAAATCGCAGATAAAGAAAAATTATGGAATGGAATTTATAAAATATTAAATATTTATTATCATAAATATCTTTTATGTGATCATGTTAGAAATCATTTAAAATAGAAGTTTTAATCTCCTACTTTATATATTTTAATCACTTAATTATTTATTGGATGGATTGGATTTCGTTAAATAAAATATGCATTTTCTCTTATTAAGACTATTCTGACTGATATCGAAGAACCTTTAATTAAAAACAATAATGTACCACTTTTAATAAGTATAATCAAAAATTATTGTGAACAAAGCTAGAGAACAAATAAATATAGTTAACTCAATTCGAATATTAATTAAATATACTACAAATTCAAAAATAGCTTAAATTAAGATTACTGTGAATTTCTTATGAAGATTTATAATCATAAAGATTAATCAACCATTAAAAATGAAGCCAATATTTTAAAATATTTAGAGATTTAAAATTTTGACTGCTAAGTTATTAGCGATAAACTAGATGCCTTATTGAAGACTTAGATACTTTAAAAAACATATGATTAGACAGGTAAATATCTATGCATATGATTTAGACTAAAGTTTAATTAAAAAAGTGGTAAACTTATAAAAAGATTTTGAAATCGTGAACTGTGCTTTTATTGATGTAAATAAAATTTTTGAACAGAATAATTATTGAACTAATATTATTTATGTTGATTATCATAAAGCTTAGAACTTTTCTGGTATAAACTTGTTATTTGAGTTTATTATTGAATTAATATCATCAACAATATTTGTTAATTTTCCTTGATCTATAAAATCAGCAACTAAAAAGTTTGGCATTTTTTTGCATTTGAAATAATACTATAAGAATCTCTTTCTTGCATGATTGTAAGAATTATACTTCTTTTTATATTAAGAATTAGATCTTGTTATTATATTTAAAATATACTTAAATGAATTTTAAGAACAAAAATGAATTTCTAAAAAAGGAGACAAGATTTCTCCAGTCTATTCATTTCTTTTCCCTCTAGCTATATCACCATTTTATACATCTTAAAATGGATCTAATTCCCAATCTACTTATGCACTTAATAAATATGAATAATAAGTGTAGTTTTATAGTTCCCCAATAATTTATTCCTTAGGTTCTATTGTAATTAATAAAGTTTATTAATTCTCCCTACACCAACCTAAAGTTGGTAATTCCTCTTCTGGATTAATTTTAATAGCCCTTTAGTCTGCTCTTGTTTCTTTTAATAAATTATTCAAAAAGATGGCTATTAATAATGGATCCCATCCTTTTGTTCCATTTTTTTTACTATTATACATTAATTTGCTTTCAATTTTTAAAACTATGATTTCATTAGGATGTTAAAAGGATAAATCAACAATCTCTTTTATATATATACTTGCTTTTTCAGGTTTTTTTAAGCCTCTTTGAACAATGGATAATTTACAATTAGAACCACCATTTGGCTCATGAGCAGCCATTATCTAAGTCTAACATATTTATTTACTTAAGAATTATGACCATCTTTATACCAATGCAAAGGTACTTTAAAATGTCGAGCTCCATATTTTATAAATTATTCTTTAATAGATACATTTTGTTATGCATAAACCCATCCATAACATTTAGACATTGCAAAATTATGAGAACCCAAATATACTATTTCATTTAATTTCAGGTTATCATTAAGATTACTATTACTACCTGGTATATGCTTTTCCATTTATTATTTATATCTATTATTATATTAAAAGATTCTTTTTAGTATTTATTAATTAAGATTTTATCTCTATCAAATAAGAAGTCCTTAAAAATTTAACTTAATTATTTCTTTTAATTTTATGTGCTTTTCAAAGAATATTAATTGAATATTAATTATTTTATTTTTATGCCTAAAGAAACTAAAGGATAATAAAAAGGTGGAAGATCTAAATATGAAACAACAGAATAAACTGAGACTTATCGATAATAAGATGCTGTATAAATAGATACTTATATCATAGAAAGAAAAGAAAATTCTGGGACCTAAAACGAAATTAGATTTAGAAAAATTAGAACCTTACTTCTCTTAAAATAATAACTATGTTGGAATGTTTAAGAAGGATGCAGGAAAAACAGATAATAGTTCAGCTGTAGCATATTCTGTAAGATTTAATCGTAACTGTTAGCATCCATTAGATAGATTAGGAATAGTAGAGAATGAATATTGTTAAAAATGTAAGAAAGATAAAGGATTCTGTCCTCATAAGAAAGGGACTCATAATACAGTTAAAGATCAATTCCAATTACCAATAATTAGGTAAGAATATTTTAAAGTTTGTAAGTTCTGCAGAAATTGGATGGAGAGAACCAATTGATAATGTGAATTGGGGATATGGAGTTAAATAATCATTCCCAATTTTTAATGCAGATTTTAGAAACACTTCTAAAAAAGAGGAAAAAGAAAAGAAATGATTTGTTAGATCCATCTTTTTCATAGATATATTAATAATATTTATTCATTTATTAGATGTCTATTCAAAACATATTCAATTTTTATAAAAAATAATAAACAAGTTTAATGACTTTCTTTTATTAAATTTATTTATTATATATGTAAGAAATTGAAGCTAAAAAACAATTAAAAGCAAGTGAAGGGGCTCACTTCTTTTATACCCTCATCTTCCTTAGTGCATCTGGAATTATAGAAACCTAATTTATTGATCAGAGATGTAATCAAAATCTAGCCTTATTTATACATTTGGTTTTCTATGGTCTAATTATTTGGGGAACTTATATATTAATTACTTTAATACCTAGGTTGATAATTCAATTTAAATAGGTACAAAAATCCTGCAATAAATTTGTTCTTCAATTTCTTAGATATCTGTTTTGCTATTTATATAGCCTTTTTATTAATTTATGGATACAAACTCTATTCATCTTAAAATGATTGTTCAACTGAGGCTCCTGTGCTTTACTTCTTTTTAGAAGTATTTATGCTTGTATCAAATCAATATCAATATTTCAGGTCAACGGAATCATCTTCTTCATTTTAGGTCTCGCCTTTATTTCATATATCTTGAAGAGATTCTCAAAACATCAACAATCATATGCTTAAGGAGAAGAAGAATACTGAGATGCATGATATAATTACATAATGATAATAATAATCATCCTTTTTTGAAACAAAACTATTATTATTATTATTTAAATAAAATATCCAAAGTTTATATTTATATTTCTTTGCATTGCGTTATATATTTTCTACCTACTTTCCTTCTTCTTATCTCATAGATTTAATTTATTATGACTATTATTTATTATAAAAATAATCTACATTTATCGAAACTATTTTATAATTCTTAAAATTTCTAAGTCTTAATCATTTTTATATCTTTAACTATTTCCAATTTTCAAGGTTTAATTGCTCTTATTTTTATACTGCTTTAAAATTATCCTTATTAGGCAGCACAATAACATATATTTATTTCCATAAATTCATAAATTCCCTTGACTAAAATATTTTTGACATAAATACAGATTCCCATAAATAAGCTTAAAATATTTAAAATTAAAATTCAATTATGGATATTTATTTTTTTTAATTTAATATTATGAGATTATAAATATTCTTATTATCTTAATCATCATCGAATCAGGTTTTATTCTTAAAAGTTATGAATTTTATTTTCAATAATAACAATTTAAAATTATTTCTTAAATCACCAAAAGACTATAGAAACATTTTTCTTTGAGATAATTTTGATGAGTAAGTATTGATTTTATCATGACACTTTTCCATAATAATATTTTTTTTATATTTGGTCCACTAATTTTTTTTATTTTACTTCTTTATAAATTTTGCTCAAGATAAATTATAATAGAGCAGAATTTGACAATCTTATAGTATTTTTTTAAAATACACCAAAATCATCAAGAATGAAATATTTATAAACATATAAATTTTTATATCCCCCAATTATTCTATATTCATAAATATAATTATAAGTATATTTGAAAGTACAATGAATTTAAAATACTCCCTCGATTACTATGTGTTATATATCTTTAGTTCAAAATAATTATCAATATTTTCCAGTATCAGAAATTATAGTTATATCAAAGATGTAATCATTTTTAGGGTTAACTGTATATATTTTCTGATTTAATAAAAATTATTTTTAGAAATGAATGTTCCAATCAATTATTCAGAATAGAGAGCTCAAACAGAAACTTATTCTTCAGGGTTCACTCAATCAATTGAAAATCTTGATTCAAATAGTTTGAAAGAGGATTTAAATAAGAGTCTTGAATTGGGACGTAAAAAGAGAAAACAGTTGACACTTGAAAATCCTGAATTTCAAATTAAGCAAGAAATTGAAGATGAAAAATAGAATATTAAGGTATAAACCCATATTAGAAGAGGTGTAGCGGATGCTTTAAAGATATAAGACTTATGTACAATAATAATGTTTATTAAATAGTAAAGTTGAAGATTTCAGTTAAAGATAATAATAACCCTATCCATAGTCTATTTCGATGGTTTCTACTTATATTATATAAGGAGAATCCTGAGATGTATAATTGGCCAGAGTTTAAAGTAATAAAATTTACATCGATTTATTTAGAAATAAGTTCTTGAAAAGAATAATGGTCAAGATCTTCGTAATCGTTTGGGATATTAAAGTGTAATTCATATAACAGCACTTGAAGGAGAGAAAACAAAATATTTGTTAAATTTAAGGAAAACAATTATAGAATAAAACAGTAAGCCTGAAGAAGTTTAACATGTACTTGTGAAAATATTTGATATTGTAGAAATAGTATACAAAACACATGAACATGCAAAAAAAATTAATCATCTAGTTGATGATTTATTGAAGGTTTTGAATTTGATAATAGTTTCTATAGCAAGAGAATTAAATCAAGTAATTCAAAAATGAAATTGAGAAAGTGAATTAAGAAATTCAAGAGGCTAAGTCTAGTCTGAAAAAATTGGAAAGCAAGTCTTTGAATGATGAAATCATTCAAGAATGATATTATAATTAAGATTGTTATAATTTTTCTAAGAAAATTTTAATGAATAAAGGAGATTGATAATCTTAAAGAGTATAAATAGTAAAAAAATAAATAGAGAATAGAAATAATTAATTAATTAGATAAAATAATAATATAAGAAGAGGATGTAGGGATATTTTGATTGATTATAAAAATAAATATAAATAATATAGGAGAGATTAATTATATAATTAAGAAGGTGTATTGATATTTTTAGTTAGTTTGTAAATATATTTATATGTTGAATAATAAAATATTTATGAGAATGGTTAAAACGGATACTCATTAATTAATTTTAGATGAAATAGTTAGTCGTATTTGCAATAATGGTAGGCTTGGCATTAAGTACAAGCATTACATCGCCTAAACTATTGTTGGAATTGTAGGCAAGGACAGAAAATGTAATAGATGATGGTGTTGATCTATTGGAACAACTTTTAGCTACAACAGAATAGTAATATGAACAAGTGATTCAAGAAAATGAAGTTGAATAACAATAATTAAAAGAGCAAGTGGCTTCAAAAGAGCAATAACTTTATGATCTTTAAAACACTTGTATGGTGATGTCAGACGACTTGGCCTTGTTGAAATAATAAATAGAATTGCATGGAGATGACACAGCATACTTTAGAAATGAAATAGTAAAAGATAATCGTAGAATTGAAGTACTTGAAGAGCTTCGTTGTTAACAAAGCAAGAATTGGTTGAATTTCATAAAATCTAGCAAATATATTATGAATTTGATTGAATTCTTAAGAAGAGCAATTTAGAATTATGGTTCATTTGCTGAGATTTCAAACTTTTCAGTCATGTTAGAGACTTTAAGTAAAGAGGTAGATGATAATGAATTATTAAATTCACTTTAAGCAGTAAGTAAATCAAGAGCAATTACTCCAGTGAGATAAGAATTACTTTAATTACTTGATTAGATTGAGGAATCAATCAAGGCAAAGATCAATACAAGTTAGACTGATGAAGTAAATAATAATATTAATAAAATAATAATAGATTTTATCAACATCAAGAATAGCTGATTATTTACATTAACTTAAATAAGAGATAGCATGGTATGAGAATGAAGTTTAAAAATTAAATGAAGCTTGGGGAGAATCTCCAGAAGAGACAGTAAAAGAAAGATAAAAGGAATTGGATGCTTGTGAAAGCGGTATAAATGCAAAGATTGAAGAAACAAAAGAATTCAGAAATCATGTAAGTGAATAAATAATTCATAATGAATCAAGATAAGCACGTTTCTTAGAATAAAAAGATTTAGTTGCTTAATTGGTCGTTGAATATTAGAATGCATTTAATAAGATTGGAGAAACTTATAAAATAAGAATAGATGATTTTGTTGAGGATGGAGTTTTTGATAAGACAGTTGATTTTGATAAAAGGTATAATATAAATGAAATTTTAATTAGATCATTGACTGATTTGTATGGTGATAAAGAGAACACTTTCTAATAATATGTAGATGATTTAGTAAATGGAGTTGCTACACCAGTAGAAGTTCCAGTTGTTGAAGAAGAACCTCAATCAGATGATTTTGAAACAGGAAGTGAATCAGAGGAAGTAGGAAGTGAAGAAGCTGAATCTACTGAACAAGAAGTAGAAACTGGAGAGAGTGTTGTTGAGACTACTACTGAAGAAGAAACAGTTGAAACTACAACAGAATCAGAAGTTGAAACAATAACTGAAAATACAGAAGAAACAAATTATTTTGAATAAGGCGAAATTGAACAATCTGTTTGATTCTATTAAAATAAATAAATATTTATGTCAAGACACTAAAAAGTCTATTATATGATAAGAAATGCTCATTATTGAGCAGATTAATAATTTAATATTATCTATTTTAAAGTTTAATATTGAAACTCATCAATTATCTTTAGGAGATAATTTAACTTTATTGTACTTGTAAATACATTATTCATGCATTATATAAAACTGTTAGACATAATGATACAGCATCTAAATATTTAAGTAATAAGATCAATCAAACATCAAAATAATCCTAGCATTAAAACAAAATATAAAACTTTTATTCAAACCAATCCTTCCTCTAACATTGTTATTTTACTTCATGTGGATCCAGGAAAAAGCACTTTGGCAGAAAAGCTTCTTTAAATATTTAAATAAAAAGAAATAAGAAAAAATCAAAAGAAAGCTAAGAATTAAGGTAAAGATTTATCTGCACTTGCATATGCTTAAAGAGAAAAAGAAAAAGGTGTTAGATATAGCATATACATCAATTTTGATTTTAAAAAGACAATAAAATCTATAAGGTTCTCTTGGAAATACCAATTTTAGACCTCATTTAATAACAGGAGCAGCATAAGCTGATTATGCCATCTTAGAAATAGATACTACAAAAAATATATTTGCAAATACCATATAAAGTGGTATGTTAAAAGAAAAATTATAATTTATAAATGCTATACTTATTAAATAAATTATAGTTGCATTAAAAAAAATGGATTAAATTAATTGGGATCAAAAATAATATTAGGAAGTTAAAAAATACATTTAAACTTCTGCTACTAAATTAGGTTATAATAAATAATAAATCAAATTTGTATAAATATCTGCATTTCAAAGTTAGAATATAAAAAACAAACACAACAACTTATGGTATTAAGGATTAACTTTGGTTGAAACAATTTTATATTAACCTCCTATCGATAGAAGAGAAAATTAAGATTTTCTTTAAATAATATATTTTAGGCCAATCAGAAGGAAGATTAAAAGGTACATCTTTATTAGACAAATTACATTCAGGCTATTTTGAAAAAATATATACAACAAGGAATCTATTGTGAAGTCAAAGAGGTTGAAAAATAAAAAGTGGAAGGAGATATTTTATAAATGAAGATTAAAACCCAATGGATATAGAATTTTAAAATGTTCATATTTTTAGTTAATTTTGAGTTTAACTGAATATCATATTCTGTTGCAAATAGAATGGTTTGGGAAATAAGTACATTTGATCTTTGAATTGCTTTTATAAGAAGATCTTAATTTTTGATGCATTTTAGGTGCCTAAAAGGTAATAATCACAATTGTTGTTGTTAAGAAATTAAATCATATATATGATGATGATACTTAGAAAATTAAAAACAAAGTTCTTAGAGCTATTGTTTGTAATGAATTAGAAGAAGTAAATCGGAATGTGATAGCCAAGCCTGTGTGGAAACACATGCAAATTTAGAATAATTAAATAAAATAATTTTTAGGGAAAATTTAATATTGTTGCTATAGGCTGAAGTTACTATAATTAATCTGAATTAACAAGATAATAAGCAATTTGCATTATATCCTTTTTTTATAAAATTATTAGAATTTAATGTTTCTACTAATCATGTTTTTAATTGTTTTCCAGGAATGATAAATGTGTAATATCTCCCATTATTTCTTTAAATTCCTTGAATTTGATATTGGGAAATTGATAACTTAAATTGGGTCAGTGTAAACATTTGAATTGAATTTCCATAATTTCATTTCAAGGCATGTATTTACTTTTGGTATTCTATTCTTGTTTTCATTGTTTATTAAAATTTTAAATTACCATAATTGAAATTAAAAATTTTTATTTTTCTTAATCCATATTTATTATCATAATTCTTATTTTCGATTTAATAAAAAGGATTTTCAATTTTGCTATATTATTAATGTAAATTTTAATAAGGTACAATATTGAAAGGTAATTCATGAATAGTAAATTCGATGTATATAAATATAAATAATAATGGGGTTTAATAATTATCATTTAATTGTTTAAAAGTTTTGTAAATAGTTATAGCATGAGATTTTGATCAATTAAAGTAAGATNTATTAAGGATTAACTTTGGTTGAAACAATTTTATATTAACCTCCTATCGATAGAAGAGAAAATTAAGATTTTCTTTAAATAATATATTTTAGGCCAATCAGAAGGAAGATTAAAAGGTACATCTTTATTAGACAAATTACATTCAGGCTATTTTGAAAAAATATATACAACAAGGAATCTATTGTGAAGTCAAAGAGGTTGAAAAATAAAAAGTGGAAGGAGATATTTTATAAATGAAGATTAAAACCCAATGGATATAGAATTTTAAAATGTTCATATTTTTAGTTAATTTTGAGTTTAACTGAATATCATATTCTGTTGCAAATAGAATGGTTTGGGAAATAAGTACATTTGATCTTTGAATTGCTTTTATAAGAAGATCTTAATTTTTGATGCATTTTAGGTGCCTAAAAGGTAATAATCACAATTGTTGTTGTTAAGAAATTAAATCATATATATGATGATGATACTTAGAAAATTAAAAACAAAGTTCTTAGAGCTATTGTTTGTAATGAATTAGAAGAAGTAAATCGGAATGTGATAGCCAAGCCTGTGTGGAAACACATGCAAATTTAGAATAATTAAATAAAATAATTTTTAGGGAAAATTTAATATTGTTGCTATAGGCTGAAGTTACTATAATTAATCTGAATTAACAAGATAATAAGCAATTTGCATTATATCCTTTTTTTATAAAATTATTAGAATTTAATGTTTCTACTAATCATGTTTTTAATTGTTTTCCAGGAATGATAAATGTGTAATATCTCCCATTATTTCTTTAAATTCCTTGAATTTGATATTGGGAAATTGATAACTTAAATTGGGTCAGTGTAAACATTTGAATTGAATTTCCATAATTTCATTTCAAGGCATGTATTTACTTTTGGTATTCTATTCTTGTTTTCATTGTTTATTAAAATTTTAAATTACCATAATTGAAATTAAAAATTTTTATTTTTCTTAATCCATATTTATTATCATAATTCTTATTTTCGATTTAATAAAAAGGATTTTCAATTTTGCTATATTATTAATGTAAATTTTAATAAGGTACAATATTGAAAGGTAATTCATGAATAGTAAATTCGATGTATATAAATATAAATAATAATGGGGTTTAATAATTATCATTTAATTGTTTAAAAGTTTTGTAAATAGTTATAGCATGAGATTTTGATCAATTAAAGTAAGATAAGATTCATCTGTTGAATTTTTAAGAGAAATAAAAGCATAATGTTTGGAGGAGGATTTATTGGCTAATGAGGAATATATCGAAATAAGATGTATAAAAATTCATCACAGAAAAAAAAATCTTGATGGTATATTAACAAAGTTTTGTAAAACTTAATATGAAAATCATAATGAGAAAGAAGTATTGTCTTAAATATCAGAATATTGACTGTAGAATCAGAGAATAATCTCAAAATCTCTGAAAATATATCATTTACATATAATACAATTTTAATTAATTCTTGATATTTATGGTTTAATTTTCAGATTTTAAACAGATGTATGCTCGAGTTTTTAAATTCAATAGCTTGGTCACATATCAAACTTCAAAAATACTGGAATTATCCAATAGAATCTCATGTTCAATTGCTTTAAATTATGCCATAAACTATTTGTTGATTTAAATAATCCAAATGCTTCTATCGGGTTTGAAAAGATATTTGAAGAAGTAAAATGTAAATAAGATGCATTTACATATTTATTTAAATAGATCAATGAAAATTAAAAACCAGAGTTAACAAGACCCTACTGAAAACTTATTTAGAAATAATGTCCTACTCTAACTCATTTAAATTATTTCAATTATCTTTGAAAGAGGCAAAAATATTGAGCTTATTATATCTAAATAGAAACTAAGTGTATTTACTTTAAAAGAGTATATTTTTATTTTCGATTTTGATTTTTTAACAGAAGATAAAGTTTAATGTATATCGATGCTGTTACTGACAAAGAAAACAAAAACAATACTTATAATATAACGTGACCTTGAATATATCAATTTGGTTGCAGTAATTATTAATTGAGATTTGCTCTTTTTGATAAACAAATTTGGGAGTGTAAGTCATTAAGGTGTAATATGACTAAAGAAAATTATATTTTAAATAAAAGAGAGCAGAATTATCACTAAAGTGATAATAACAATAGATATTAATATATTATAATATTAACATCATAATGTTTAATTAATATAAAATAAGAAAATAAGGATGATTGATTCACACTAAATTTATTTATTTAAATAATGATATTTGTATTATATGCTATGTTGTCTAAGTTGATTTCAGCCGAATCAACTGCTACTGAATAAACTAGAGATTACTGTTCTCTTCCTGATGCAATTTATGCAGATGGTGTTTCTGCAGCGGATTTTGGAGCTACTGGATGGAGTTATGCTAACGCTGATAATTGGGCAGGTATAACGATATATGATTAAATTAGATCTTGTTGTTACTTGTGGAGGTAGCTACTAATCACCCATTGATATTGTTACAAGTGGAACAACTTCAGAAGCTATTTAACCTAAAATTAACTACAAAAGTAAAGATGTTGGGACTGGATATGAAGAAGCAAACAGTAATATTTGATTACATAATTTTAGAACCATATACCAAAGAATATGAAGGAGAATACTCAGAAATTGAAGTAACTGATGCTTCTGGTTCGGTTTACCGTTACTATGCCAAATAATTTCATATTCATACACCATCAGAGCATACCATTGATGGAAAATATTTTGATTTAGAAATTCATTTTGTTCATCAAGTAAGCTGTTTTAACTATCCTAGGCTATCCAAGATGATGAATAAGACTGTAATAAAGTTAAAAATAAACTAACTGTTTTTGGCTTAATGTTTTCTTAGTCCACTAGTGCAGCAGATTATGATGCATTCAAACCATGGTTTGATTCAAACGTTACTGGAGAAGTTGATTCCTTTGATTTAAAGTAACCTTTTAATATTTAAAATAGTGATTTCTTCTCCAAAATGTCTGATGTTACCTATTATCATTATAATGGAAGTTTAACCACACTTCCATGTTCATAAACTGTTAATTGGGTAGTTTTCTAATAACCGTTACCTATTTCACCTGCCTAATTAAAACAATTCTAAGATTTCTTGGGTGATTCAACTCTTTTCCCTATTAAACACAATAATAGGCCCATTTAACATTTAAATGGTAGAAAGATTTTCAAAGGAGTAATTTATATTGAGGAATTATAATTAGACTGCCATAACCGCAGGTGTTACTGAATTACCAGAAGGTTAAGCATCTTTTGCATAAACACTTTTTATGGTTATTTTAATGACCATTTTGATATAATGAAAAATTATATGTTTTAATCAACAAATATTTACAAATAAATAAATAATATATATTATTATTTAAATAATAAATTTATTCTAATTAAAAAATGTGAGATGCTAATTATTTTAATAGATAATGATATAATATCAAATCCCTTTTTCTGTATTTACATGACTTGTTTTTTGATATAAGCATACACAAGAAGTCATGGTGATTCCAAAAAAGAACCCTATAATTGCAAACACCAAAGCATGATTTATATTAACCTTTGGCAGCTTCTTAATTTAAACCAATTTACTATTCAATTCAGCTGTTTGTTATTGTAAATTATAGATTTCCTTTTCCATTCCTTTAATTGTATCAATATAAGTATTTGCTTCTGTAATTTATTATTATATTGATTATGAAATCCTTATCTCTTCTTCTTTTTATTTTTAATGCTCCTCTTATTCAATTTGTTTCTATCTTTCCAATTCCATCATTTCTTTTAAACGTAATTCTTATTCTTCTTATTCCTTTAACATTTTCTCTAATTTCTATTATTATATTTCTTATTTTGTCTCTTCAGACATCTAAGCCAATGAATCAATCCATTAAACAAAGAAATCATATCTTCTATGATTTTAAAATTAAGATGTTGGTCTATCCTATCCAGGTGGGAAATATAAAATTGTAGGAAATGAATGAACTCCAAAATGATGACAAATATGTTGGTTTTACTATTCATCGCAATTCATTTTAGCTATCAGAATATCTGGCCTTGTTTCTTAGTAGTGTTCAAATACTTAATTGAATTCTCCTGCCATATGTTAACAATAGATACACCAAGGAGTAAAGAAATCTAAAACAACCTGTTTCGTTAATTACTTACATGCTTCTCCTTTCCCAAATGCTATTGATAATTGTTTGCTGCCAATGTAAAAGCCAAGGTGCTGTGATACCAATCAGCATTTACATCAATAAGTAATAATAGCAATACAATAATCATAATTATTATTTTATCAACTCATCATAAAAATCCTACTTGATATGTCTGTTACTATCCAATCAATCCCTTCAAGTAATCCATCTCCTGTTACTGCTGAACATGCTATTATTCCCCAATGTCTTGTCTGGATTAAATCCAATTCCAAATACTCTCTAATTTATTACAGGCTTAGTGATTTTGGAACATCTTGTTTATTGCAAAATATCAAAAGTGTTGCCCCTATCAATTTTTCCTACTTTAATAAATTTTATAATTCCTTTTTGCAATCATCTAAACGAGCTTTATCAGTAGAATCTACTACCCATATCAACCCATCTGTTTATTCAAAATAATTCTTCCAATATGATCTTATTGTCTATTAACCACCAACATCTAAAGATTATTTTCATCTTAATTCCTTACCCCAACAATTTAATTTGTACCCATTATAACTAAGAGTTTTAATATTGAAACCCAATGTAGGAGATATCTGGGATATGTCTTCACCATTAAATTTTTTCAGGATTGTGGTCTTTCCAGCATTATCTAATCCCAAAATTAACAATCTCATCTCTTTCTCTCTCTCCTTTGTTTTTTTGATTATTTTCAAAAGTCCCATTATAAAAGAAATTTAATTTAAATTAATATAAATTATTATTATTCTACACATAAATTTAACTGTTTCATTTTTTTCATTAAAAAAATTATTACCCCATTTTTATTAAATAAATAAACACATAATCGTTACTCATAGATCTAATTATTAGTTTCAGTGCATTTATAAAGCAAATACCAATAATTGAATTTGCCATATGCTCCATATATATATTCTTGTTAACATGAATAATTATTCATTTTCATTTAAATTTTAAATCTGATGATCATCTCTTCAAACTCTTAACTTCTAACTTATCTTATTTCTAAAATATCTTCAAATTTTGATAATCTTTACATATCTAGCCTTTAATTTTGATGATTAACCTATCATTTAAATATGAACTAAACTCTCACATTCATTTTTCATGGTTAGATTTTATTGTATAGATCTTTATTTTCATAATAATTAAATTTATTTTGTTTCGTTTAAAGATTTATTATTCCTTTATAAAACATTGTTAATTTACAAGAACAATTAAACTTATTTTTTTCAATAATATAAATTGTGTTGAAGCCTTCTAGAATGAAAGTTTATAGTTCTTGTCTATTTATTGGAATAGAACTTAGCTGATTACTATTTAAAA